AGCGTGACTAAATTATTCCTTCCTTCAAGAAATTTTAAAAAGAACTGATTTCTATAACTATCCAGTGCCAGGACAGTTATTTTGTTATTTATATCGAATAGAGAATACTGTTAGTTTGCGGTATGGACCCCAAAAAATATTTTATTCGAAAAGATTGATAAATATATGGAACTGTGGGAAAATATGCTACAAAAATTTCAAGATTTTTATTATAATTTTTATTTGAAACACCTTCTGAAGAAACATTAGACATAATTCTATATTTATATCGTTTCATTAAACAATTTTTATGATAGTGATACTAATCAAATTTTTATGATATATAATAATAATCTTTTTTTTTTTTAATTTTTATTTTCCGTAAACTTTAATCTACGTTAAACTTCAGACAGCCAATTTTTCCGTAAAAAAAATAACAAATAAATTATGTATGTACATTTGTTACATTGTAAATTTATGAATAGATTATATTACTTTGATCTATTATTATATTTACTCAAAATACCACTAAAGAGTTTTATGGTCTTATTGTAAGCCAAACTTGTCACTGCAGGGGTTGTCTCGGTGTATAATCGGCTCGAGTAAAAGGTAAACGCATTTTTGACCTGGGCTTGAAAGAGATCTAAACGAAGTTTAGAATATTACTTCATGAACAGATTTTGTTTTCGTAAAGAAAGAAATTTTTGAAATAGAGATAGCAAACTGAAATTTACCGTTAGAATATTCGAGGATAAGCCTTAAGGCGGATGAATTTAGACTTATAAATATACTTCCGACCATTGAGAAATTATTAGAATTGGTAGTATGGATGATCAAGTCATGTATCACATTGACAAAAATGAAATCTGAATAAATACTCAGTCAGGTTTTCGTAAAAAGTATTCCTGCAAAACTGCACTGCAACTTTCACTTTGTAAATTCACGTCTGAATTGGACAATAATTATTTAGTAGTAATATTCCTCGATTTAAAAAGAGTTTTTGAAACTATTGATCGTAATATACTTCTCACTCAATTAGAAGGCTATGGTATTGGAGGAAATGTTCTTGAATGGTTTAAAGATTACTTATTGGATAGAAAGTAACAAATGAAGATTGATGATATTACTTCTTCTGCAATTAGTGTTAATATTGGGATACCTCAGGTAGTGTCTTAGGACCCCTTTTGTTCATATTGTATTTAAATGATATAAATTTGTTTGTTAATTGTGATTTCTTTAATTTGTATGCAGATGACACCCTACTTGCATGTTTTGATTCAAATTGATAAATGTTTAATAAATATAAATGTTTAAATGTTAAAACGTACAAAAAATTTATAAATGTTAATAAATATTTAAATATCAACAAACTAAAGTTAAATGTGTTGAAGCCAAAGGCCATGATAATAACAACTAAATACAATACTCAAATATTGATATAAATACTACTAATCTTTAAATTGACAATGATAAAATAGAAATCATCAAAATTAAGTACCTTTGTTTTCAATTGGATAATTTATTGTCTTTAATGAACATTTTATTTACATATGAAAAAGATTTCTAAAAAATCATATATTTTTTTCAAGAACATCTAAAAATTTGTTGACTTAAACTAAAATTACAGTTTTTAATGCAATTATTCAACTTCATTTCAATTTTTGCTCATCGGTTATTTTTCTCAATTTAAATCAATCGGTCCAGTTGCAAAAATTACAAAATCGTGGAATGAGAATCATTCTTGGTGGAAGCAGATATATACCTATAGCAACAATGCTTCAGTGGGTTTTAGTTCATCAAAGCGTTTTTAACTTACAGTGGTGTTCATTTGAGGCCATTATTTGCAAAACTTGCTCTTTGCTCGGAAGTAATTTTTTGGGAAATCGAAAAAAACGATTAACAGCCGAGTAGTGTTTAGTTCACAACGTAAAGAATTTTATTAATGTTTTTTAGAGGTTTTAGCAATGGAAATTAGAAGTTTCTAGCGTAAAATATTTACAGATTTTTAGAAGAAAAAAAATAATGTTTGTTGCAAATAACCAGTTTTGCAAATAAATTTCTAAAATAATAATAAACTGTATTTAGTTCAATAAAAAGCATAAGGGATTTATTCATGAAAATAAAACTTTAACATTTTTAATCATATGAAGAAAGTTTTTAAACAAAAAAAATCAAAAGCAGTCTCAATCAGTCTGCTCAAACAAAAAAACAGTCGTTTTCTGCATTTTGGCAATTTTCCAAACCAGCAACGGTTTCTTCCGGTGAGGTAGAACCTGTCTTCAGGTGCTCTTTGTAAAAATTTAGTTCAGGAAGCCTTCTCCAATTTTCTCCATAGTGCTTGGAAAGGAGATTATTAATAGTTCCTTTATCCCCTTTAATTCTGTTCCCAGTGGTAATTTCTTAGGAGCCATTGAAGAAAGTGAAAAATTTTTCTTGCACACGCTTTTAGCTTTTCCAACGTCATTGCGGTAATTGGGTTCACCTTGGACTAGAACAATTTTGTCTTTTTTGTAAAAAATAAACCGCTTTGCCTTATTAAATTCAAAGTGCCATGAATTAGGGAGCTTAGTAACTCGTCTTGTTTGTGTCCTCCAATCAAACACATCCCAGTCGATACCGATTTTCCGTACAATGGAATGCTTTCTGATTAAATCGTCGTAGCCACTAATTTCCACGATAACAGGCATTTTTTTAATGTCTTTTTCTATAAGGCCGAAGATGCGATCAGGCGGAATAAAGGAATGACCTACGATCGGAAAAATTAATTCAATTTGTTTAATATGTTTTGGCGATTCTTCTAGAAGCCAATAAGCCAACATTGCCATCATATTAGAATTTTTGTTTTGTCCGTCGCAACCATCAGCGAACAACCGTACTGCTTCTATGCTGACATCAAAATCAAAATTCTTTAGAGCATGTTGCAAAGCTGACGCTATTGTATTAGAATCTTTTCGAGCGTCAATTTCTGTTCACACGTAAGAAAACACATTCCTTGGTGTTAATTTATCGGTAGAAGTTCCAGCAACAATTGTAAAATTATTATAGTTTATTTGCTGGCTGAAATATGCTGCTTGATCAGGCAGTCTAGGCAGTGCCAAGTTTTTTTGGCAGTCAAATGAAAAGTAAGTTGTGTTGGGTGTTGGATTTTTAAGTAGTTGGAAAAAAGCCTTTGCTTTTACGATATGAACACGATGCTCAGTAGCTAACTTTTGCCGAACAGCTAAAGAAGTTGTTATTTTCAACTGCTCCTTTGTTCTCAAGCAAGTGGAACAACAGTCAGTCAGCGGAGTTCAAAAAGCGATGTTGTAGTAGACATTGACATACTTTCTAAAATAACTAAGCTTCACATGCATAGGCTGAGGCACTCTCCGCAGATAATGGTCGAAAAGTTTCTTAAAATTCAAATCACATGGCAAGTAGACCCTCACGCTTGTCTTGCTTCTACAGTAATGAGACTCTGTACATGTTATGGATTCTATAAATTTTTTTATGCAGTTTCTTTTTTCATCATTTTTTGGACCCACTCTATTGCCTCCTCTACGTTCTCTGGGTAGCTCCCCAGTGACAACAAAATTTCTTACAATTCTTTGTATGCGGTCCTTGCTTAAATTTGTGATTCCTAGAAACGACTTGGCACATACTCTAATCATCTTACCCTCACTCAAACGTACATGGTATTTTATCGACACTGCAGCATGATTGGATTTCCCTCTTTTCGGTTTTTCTCCCTTACAACACGACAAAAACAAAAGATCTTGCTTCCTTTTACCTTTTGACTGATAAAGGTAGGTATGAAAATCTGCCACTTGCTTCATCGTGAGTGTAGTACAACAATACGGCAATCCGGGTCGCCCGTTATGACCGCAAGTTGGAAAGGCCGGCAGTGCTTTTGGTGTATTTCTGTAACAATGCAACTCTTTTAATAAACTTTTTGTCTATTCCTACTCAACGTTATAACGCGAAAAACAAGCTAAACTGCGTAAAAAGTCAAACTATTGTCGCACAAGTCTAAAATCATAAATTTTAATAACTTACCTAGCAAGTTTATCGACATTCCTTTTATGTGTTTCTGACTGAAGAACTTTTTTGCGTCCTTTTCCCTGTGGACTAGGTTTAACAAAACAAACATTTTCACTTTCTAACTCCATAAAAATAAAAAACTGTTACTAATTCGCCAAAATACAACTCTTTAGTAGCTTGAATAATTATAAACTACTGAAAATCCGTTTCTTCAACACAGCTGTTGTAATAGCGTGTTGGTCACGTGAACCAACCAGCGAATTTCATTGGCGGTAGAGCAACGGCGAGTTTTGCAAGTAAACATTCAAAGCAAAGAGCGAGTTCTGCAAATAACTGTAATTTTCTCTACATCATTTGTATGCTAAAGAACGAGTTTTGTGAAATTTTAATTGTATCAGTCGATTTCTATTTAGAATTGAAATATACTTAACCAAAAAAACATGTTTCTAAAATTTTGTCGATTAGCGAGTTTTGCAAATAATGGCCTCATTTATAAAATTTTAAATAATTTGGCCCCTGCTTACTTTTGTGAGTTTATTACGCGGAATTGTGATATTCACAATTACCCTACTCGAGGTAAATGCAATTTACACATTGTGAAAACAAAAAGGAGAGCTTCAAGAAACTCTGTTGTTTAAGGGTTTTGATCTTTTTAATAAGCTTTCTCAAACAGTTAAAAGTTGTTCATTTGTACAAATGTTTAAAAGCAAATTAATGGACCATATTAAAATCACCAATAGTTAGGTAGTCGTTTTGTGGTCATGTTATATATTATTGTTTAATATTTTTCATAAGTGTAGGTACTATATTTTAAGTAGCCAAGAAATTGTTATTTTTATCTTGTTATGTATTAACGTTATAAATTAATTACTTTTGATTGTATTATGGCTTTCCCTATTTTTGAATAAAGAAACTTTTTCTTCTTCTTCCTATTCAGTTAACATGTGTTCTTCATTGCACCACAAGGTGAAACAGTATCTCATAAATGAAAAATTCTTGATTTACTTATAAAATTTATTTATAACTTTAAAGAAAGGAAGAGAACATTCATAGAAAATCTAAGGAATAAAAGTATTGAAACCAAAGTTTACTAAATTAAACTAAAATTAACCTAACATATTCCAGAACTCATTTACCCCAACTTGTCTTAACCAAGCAACACCAATGCCGTTCAGCATTTAATTTGAATATCTGGACTGTTTTGGTGCTAGATGGTGTAAGTGATGGAATAAACCATTTGGATGCAAAATGGTTCACTATATTTCTCAACTTTCAGAAAATTTATTTTGACATAATAATTTATTTCTCTAATGTCTCCAATATTTTAGTGACACAGACCATTTCTTGATAAAGTATTTTCAAATGTTTACAACTAGTTTAAAAGTTTAGGTAAATGTTTTCTGTAGTTTCAATATGGGTATTACAAGTTTTTAAGAGTTAATAGTATATTTTTTAAATAAAAAAAAATTAAATTCAAGACTGGCTTATAACAAAAAATACAACTGCCGAAGTTGATGTATTAAATTAATGGCAAATGATATCAATAAAATACACTTTACTTTTGATATACAGATAAATTTTAAATATTAACTCCTGGTGAAGAATAAAAGTGGATCCCAAAAAGGACCTGAAATTAATCACTGTCAGCATTAATGTCTTTCAATTTGTCCCAGTGGAGTTCAACCCTAAGGTTCTGATTGTTATGCTGAATCACATCAACAGTCACAGGCGCATACAGATCTTTGTCCATTGGTGACCACCCAGTGTACTGTAAAAGATAAATAATTGCAATATATTATGAATTATATTACAATATTTAACTATATACTAAGTTTCTTTGAGGAAAATGCCAGTCATATAACCTACTAGAAGTGATAATAAAAAAAATGTATACCCAGTGAATAGACCCACAGAATATCATGGATGGACCGCGTCACTAACACGCAAGTACTCCAAACTTTAGACAAAAGATGCGAAATTCTAAATGATATAAAAACTAGAAAGATGGAATACTTGGGGCACATTGTGAGAGGTGAAAAGTACAAACTTTTAAGAAACATCATGCAGGGCAAAATTAAGGGCAAAAAAAGTGTGGGAAGAAGAAAAATATCGTGGCTTCGTAATCTACGTGAATGGTTCGGGTGTAGTTCGATTGAACTTTTTAGGCGCGTTGCTAACAAAGTCGCAGTGGCCATGATGATTTCCAATCTCCGCTAGGAGTGGCACAAGAAGAAGATACCCAGTGAAAAGAGCCAGCAAAAAATAAATAAAAATAGAAAAATATCAAATAGTTACGGTTTGAATGATCTGAAAATAGCCTAGATTTATCTGTTTTTGCAATAAAAAAGTTATAAAAACACAAAACTAACTTGTTTATGTAATATGGCAAAGACTTTTGATTTCAGCATCAAATCATTAACCACAATCTCAAACTATATATTATTATTACTTGGAAGATTGGGATTTACTGGATATTTCACAAAAACCAATAACTGAACCGAGAAGTAACAATAAAACACAACCCAGTAATTACTTACATTAGTCTGAAATTTTAGCAGTGGATTGCAGTTTACTTTTTATTCACTTTAACACAATTTATATATTTTTTTCCTGCTGAGCTATAGTTTTTCAGTATTTCTTATTTTCAAACTGCATCTGCTGTCAATTATATGCATATGCATCATGCATACTTACTGAACCAATGTTGCCACACTTTTTAAATATATTTTTTATTGCGAAATTATATACTGTGGAAACTGCTTAATTTGACCTTCCCTAATTCGAAATCTTTAATTCGAATTCTGGTCCCTACCATTTCCTATATAAGCAATGTAAACAGTGGTGAATAATTCGAATTATATTTTAGATAATTCAAACTTTTTTACAAGCTAAAATGCTAATTTCATGCTGGAAATTTTGCGAAGAGGTAGTATTCTTTCCTGTCCTAATGCGTCACTTGTTTCATGGAACTCAACGTCATTGTAGATTGTACCTGTATCTAGCATTGCAAGAAATGCGTTGGCGTTGCAATCACGTCAGTATGTCACTGCGTTTTGAGTGAAGATGTCGTCACATGATAAACTTCGAACATAGAAAACTTTGATGTTATTGGAAAAAATAGCGGCAATTAAAGAAGTAGAAAAGGGAATGAAGAAAAAATCTGAGATTGCCAGGGATTTTGGAATTCCTCCTAATGCATTATCCACCTACTTAAAAAAAATGGGAAATTCTCAAGAGTAAAAGTGAGTATGGTAAAGAACGAAAAAGGTTAAGGGAGCCAAAAAATCCAAATTTAGACAGTCGTGATATAAAATGGTTGAAACAAGCCAGGAATATGATTATTACCGTGAGTGTTCCCCTTATAAGAAGCAAATTTGAACAATTTGCTATTGAATTGAAAAAAAAAAATTTTATTTTATTTTAAGTTCATTCATGGAGAAAGTGGGGCAGTTAACCAGCAAGAAGCCAACCAAAGGAAAAAAAATTGGACGAGATGATTTAGGATACAGATAAAAGCAAAAGCTTTTTTTTTAATGCAATGCTGACAAAACACTGGCATTTAAAAACGAAAAATGTCAGGGAGGAAAACTAAGCAAAAACAGACTCACTCTTCTAATTGATGCAAACATCGACAGATTCTTATCCGCTAATCCTTGTTATTTTAAGAATGTCAAGTCATAACCAGTGGAGTATGTGAATAGCAGAAGTGCTTGTATGACTTGTATTTTTTTCCAGAAATGGTTGATGAATTTATGTGATGATATTTTGTTTATTGACAACTGTATGGCACACAACACTGATAAAAAATGTAAAAGTTATTTTTTTTCCTGCCAACATGACTTCAGTTCTCCAGTCTATAGACCAAGGCATCATAATAAATCTTAAACACTTTTACAAACATTTTTGATTAAAACTTATTCACAGAAGATTGAGACTTCCTTAAAATAAAGTTTTGGACTCCAAAAAAGCAGTCCAAAAAAGCTGGTTTCGTAAAAAAGGAGGAGAAAGCGAAAAACGCTAACGAAACAACAGAAGAGCTGCTATCAGTTGACAGCTGGGATGACATCATTTTTTATCATGCCATCTCTTAAGATTTTGTGAACATAGTTGAAGACATTGCAGTATGTGCTGAGATAACCGATGCAGAATTGATTGCTGAAATGCTTAAAAACAATGATGAAAAACAATAAACTGATGAAGACTACATGTCATTTGTTGCGGGAAAAATACATGTTCCAAGTGTGGCTGAAGCAACTATCCATATTACGCACCTTAGACGGGACTTTGACAGTTAAAATGACGTAAGTCACTCCATTTTTAGTTCAATTCATGATTTTTTTGTCATTACCAAGAAGCTAAATTCTAAAAATCAGCTAAAAATTTCGAATTTCTTAGAAAAAAATTAAAGTCTGTCTTTTTTCATTAAAATCAACAATAATTGACCTTTTTTTTTATAGCTTGCAAATGTTTTAATTGGTATTCTTGGCTTAATTTTGATCACCCAGTTTTTTTTATTGACAACATTCGGGCAAGAAGAATAGGAATGAAAACATCTGCAAGCAAAAAAAAATGATGACCTATTGTTGATTTTTATCGTTTTATTTGTAATTCGAATTATCCAGGTTACACTGTATATAATTATATAGTATTATTTTCAGTGTTAAGGAGCACTCCCAGATATACAAATTCGTTCACTGCTTCGATGACGTTGTTTTCTATAACAAGTGGTCATAGTATTTGTGGTTGTGTGTTTATTTTCATATACTTCGTTTTATTTATACGCCAGAATTTCCACCGATTTATTATGTATTGAATCAGTGGTTGTGATTTGTGACATACATATTACTTTTTCCAGAGCCAGAACAGTATATAGAAGAAAGGGTCTCCCTGGCACATCCCATTATTTGTTTTAAAAGATTCAGACATGGTTACCCCTGAATTCATACACTACATTCAACATTTTCAAGAGTTAGTTTTGTTAAATTTGCCAAATGATTTGGTATCCATGTGCTGAGTATAAATGCCATATTCCAGTGTTTTTTTCCAAAATTTGTTTCAGGGTTGCAATCTCATGAATTGTTGATTTACCAACTCTGAAACCAGCCAGGTATTTTCCTACTACCTGTTCTGCAACTAGTGCCATACAATATGCTGCATTTAGAAGCGTAATTCCTCTGTGGTTAGAGCATTCACAGATATCTCCTTTTTTTGTGTATGGTGCAAAGTATTCCAATATACCAATCATTGGGGAGGGATTTCTGATTTCTGTGTTCATATTTCTTTTATAAGCTGTTGTAATGCCATTATGGTATCATGGCCACCTTTTTTTATATAGTTCAACTGCGAGATTATCTATTCAGGTGAATAGTTTCTGGCTAGTTTTTACCTGCATCTTTAACTTCAAGAATCGTTGGTGGTTCCTCCTCCCTCTCATCTGTTCCCCTTAACTCATATCTTTCGTCTTCCAGGTTTTCTTCTTCTGCCTCTATATTGCCTGGTTAAAATATTCCACCAATACATTCAATACATATTTCCTTGTTGTTAATAGGTCGCCATTCTGACTTCTGCATTGTCTTGTGGTTGCCTTGAATTCTTTTCTGTTAATGTTTACTTTCTTATAGAATGCTCTGAATTTGTTCTCTCTGCTGAGTTTTTCTATATATCCTCATTTAGCTGGTTTTGTTTTTTTTTCCTTTGTATATCCTCTTTTCTTCTCTTCTGTTTGTCTGGTAATTCTCTACAGTTCTTCTAGTTCGTCAACTAAGCATCTTTCTGTAGGTTTCATTTTTTTCATTTGTTGCATTCTTGAATTCATCGCCAACCAATGATTTCTATGAGCACAAATTTCCTCTTTCGCTGCTGCTTCAATGTCTTCCTTTATTCTGGACCACAACCCTAATATCTTTATTGGCTTAAAGTATAGAGAATGTTCCAATTAAGTTAGCTACAAATGAAACTTCAATAAATCACAAATATGAATTTGCAGTATTGCCATGTTCTTATTATGTATATGTTTTATGCCTAAAATATCCTTTGAAATAGTACATTTTTGATATATTATTTTATGGAATCTGGTACTTTTTCTTTTAAATTTACATAACACATGAACAAATGAATATATTATGTTTATTTCAATATTAGTTGTAATTATTAGAAAAAAAAGTGTGGTTGTCATTTGGTAAATTTGCTGATAAATTTGGCACGTATCAAAAACCATCTAAACACTAGTTGCCAGATTAAAAGATATTAAAAATTAAAAATATATATTAAAATCATTACGGCAGAATTTAGCTTGATACTCACTTTCTAACTTTCGTATTTATAGTGATTTATTTTTTTCATTATTTTACTATTTTGTTTTCCATGTTTAATTAAATAAATTAATATTATATTACATGCTCTTTCACGATTTATTAAAAAGACATGGCAACTTTGCCAAATACAAAAATTTCCTAGCTAACTTACTTGGAATGTTCTCTATACTTTAATCCTTTAATGTTTAATAGCAGCAATCTAAGATTTGGCAATTGTTTTTAAAACTATCCACCAAATCTATCAAACATTTAATGTTAAAGAATGTAATAATACTTACTATGGATGTATTTTTATGTCTAACTTTACCATCTTCGTCATATGCCTCATATTTTTGCAAAAGAGCTTTCCCATCAATTCTCCATATGCATGGATGTTTGGAAGCATCACCCTCAGCATCTTTTTTAAGAATGACAAATGAGCCTGTCTGTAAGAAAATAATATTAGTATAAAATGGTGGTAATACTAAGGGTAATAGTACCAGAATAATAATAAACATTATTTTCAACTAGTTTAGAAAAAACTTTAATTGTTTATAATTATGTCAATATACATTATATAATTATGTAAATAGATGACAATCACTTACTGTGTAGTCTTCTGAATACAAAGTTTTTGGTATAAACTTGCGATTTCCCAATGGCCTCACAGACTGTATTTGACTATTAGTAGTAGCTGAAGTTGCTTTTGTTTCAGAATTTTCAACTTTTTCTGGTTTTTCTTTGAATGCCTCTTCTTCCTCGTCGTCATCAACTGAATAATCGTCGTCGTCCTCTTCATCTTTAGCTTTACTTTTTGCCTTTTTAGCCACACCGTTTTTGGACTTTTTTCTTGCAGGTTCACTATCAGAATCATCATCACTACTACCATATTCAACCACTGTCATTCGGGGCTTTTTACTTAAACGTTGAGACGATCTTCTACTGTTTTTCTTCACCTGCAGAGATAATTTAAAAAGTACTAAAATATTTATATCTACCATACCAAAAAATAATCATGTATCAAATGAACAAAAATATACAAATATCTTGTACAGAACGCAAAATACTACAACCAAAAATACCGGTTATAGAGTTTTAAAAATAACAGCTTCAAAAATGAGTATTTCTTACCTCCTCTTCCTCTTTCCATTCATCACCCGAGCTTTCGTAAATATCTGGATCATCTTCGTTTTCAGAAAATTTGCTCATTTTTTCTAAAAAAATACGTGAACAATATTAAATTAAAATAAAGCCACTATACAAACATGTTTTTTGCAACTGTTAGTAGGCGCCATCTGTACCATTCTAGCTCGGGCTTATTACTTCTAGATTAAAATTAGTAAGGATAGATACTCTTAACTCTTACTTACTTCTTAAACGTAAATAAACCCGTAAAGTTTGTTACTTAGGTTTTTACTTTTGTATATATGTATGTGAATATTTCAACAAGTAAAACTGGTCGGATTTTTATCTATAGAATGTGAAACCAATTCCGGCTCCGGCTTCGGCTAAAACAACAACGACAATAATCGACAAGCAGGAACGCCACAGTGCTGGCAACTTGACAAACTTGTACGTAAAAACAAAAAATGTCAAAAATCAATTTTGTAAATGTTGAGAATTGAATTCACATATAAATCACATTAAAATTGGAAGATTTTATGCAAAAAGGTTCTGAAACTATTTTCTTGTGGAATGCCTAAGTTAAATATTATGTTATATATGGGATTGAGCCACAATTAATTGTAATACACACTACACTTCATCTAATTTATATAACGATGCACGTCATCGGCGTCATAGCCTGTGACGTTACATGATACCAACACAAAATATTTAGGGTGTAGGTGTGTTCTTTTTTAGAATCACTTTACCGAGTACACTGGCATTACAGCCACTAGACATATTTTATTATATACGCGTAGAAATAATATTTAAAAATTTCTATTAATGTTAACTTAAAGAAATACACAATAATATGTTTCATTTAATTTGTATAAATGCATTATAAAGCGTTTTTATCAAGAACATTTGTTCGGAACACACTGTAACTGTAATCGAACAAAGCAAAAATTTTGGCATAAATTGGTAACGCTTATTTGACAGTTGCGGTGTTGACACTTTTTGTACTTCATTATTTTGAATTTTAAAGTGAATATCTCTTGTTTTATATTTTTAACTATTTAATAAAATCTGTTCTTTTTAGAACAAAATTAGTGTGTTTTATTTCAAAAATGTCACGTGAGAATTTAAACAGTCGTTGTAAAGAGATGGTAATACTTTTGCAATAATTATGTAATCTATTTGATTTAAAATGGAGTCAGGATTTTTTATACTTTGGCAACTATGTCAACTCCGATCTTTGACGTAGATAATGACGTAAGTCGTTATCTAAATTAGATGAAGTATACATTTTATTATTGTAGTTTGACGTTTCGATTTCCTCTCTGGAAATCGTTAAATGGATTTCCATTCTAATTGTTTAATTTCAAATCCGGAAAACTCATTATTGCCTACCACGAATATAAAAATAAGCAACCGCTGAGTTCATTAAGCGGAAATAAAGTAGGCTTTTTAAAGGCCGTATGACACTATGCATTTTCTTGTATCATTTCTTATATCGTTTCTGATATAGAAAGTTATTTATGTTTTCTTGTATCGTTTCTTGTACGTACATTTTTGCCCTGTATGACACTATGCAAGTTCTTTTACCAGAAACTGTATGTGATTTGGCACATGATTGGTCGAAATTTTGACACCTATAAAAATAGAACTGCAGTACCTGAGGCACCGAACAAGGGCCTGAGGACCCCAAGCTACTGGGGACTGAGAACATATGGTACTGATTATTTTTAAAAATACTGTGGTGCAAAAATGAAAGAAATAAAATGTCCCAATATGAAAACTAAATTGGAAACCACAATTTTTGAAGATATTCAACAGGTTGTAATGAAAGACAGAAATAATAAATAATTTGGTTGTAATAATTTATTTGTTTTTTTTTTAATTATGTGTTTGAATGGCACGCTCTTGAAGTTCTACTCTCTTATTTGGAGATATAAAATAATCTTTAAACTCATCACGAATTTTTAGTGCGGTTATGTATTGTTTTTAGTAAAACATCTCCTCCTACTTTCTGATTTATTGTTTTTCAATATAGCTACTGATGTTCTAATCTTGGTTATTGTTGGTGGGCACTTTTCTCTGATGTCTGCTTGGCCTAATTGTATGTATACATCAGAGATACTTACATATCTCTGGTATATATCAAAGTTCTCCTCCAGCCATAGAGAAATAAAAATAATAATTATTTTTATTTCTCTATGCCTCCATCCGCTAATATGACATGAAAGAAGTTTTACGTTTTAGCGGCTTTACGCACAAATTGGCGCATTTCTTGTACAAGAAAATGCAGCGGACACAAATTCTTGTATCGTTTCTGATATAAGAAACTATACGCCTGTATGACACTATCCATTTTTTTGTTATATCAGAAACGATATAAGAAATGATACAAGAAAATGCATAGTGTCATACGGCCTTAAGAGCGGCTGACTTCCAGCGGCTTGCGCTGGAGGCAGTATACGTCATACAAATATATAAATATATAATATAAATGTATATTACTAATATATTATACGTAATATGTTAACATATTATCTTTACATATTCTTCGGTTTGACCGCCACCACTTTAATCAGTTGTCCCGCCGCGCTGAGGTCGTCTGAACGCACCCAATGTGTTTATGCTTCATAAATCGCAGTACCATAAAACACAACAAGACTTTTTATCAAAAAATGGTGTCAGCCATTTTTTCGAACAGACATTCTGTAAATAAACAGGTTAGGTTAGTAATATAAATATTATAAATAATTAATATAAAAAGTACCAAAAAAGTCTGGTTGTTGAAAAAAATCAAGTGCCACAAGTGCTAATTTTTTAATCGATTATTATTATAATGTCTGTGCGAAAAGTAAGAACAATGCGGTGTTGTTATGGACTATGTATTCTTTATTTAATAAAAAATATTTATTTAATAAATATTTCTTTATAAATTTATAAACCAGTACTTATGACGTAAAATATATATCAAACGTCATTGTAAAATCTGTCTGTACGAATAAAATGGCGGCTGATGAAAAGTCTGAACACAAGTTTAATTTATCTGTGCTCTTGTACTGTCACCTCATCTATGATCTGCGAATGCGACCGCGACTGCGCCATGCCATGATACTATGAACACATGAATAACAAGATAAGATCTTCCCGTAGCCCAAAATCGGTCGTGTTCGCGCATGCCGTCATTGGAGAGTAGAATTTGAATTCTTATTAAAGTTAAATGGGATTTGTATGCTTGAGATGAAATTACTGGACAAAAATAAGTTAAGAAGTTCAATAATTACAATAATTGTACACATAAGGATATCTCCAAACTATTTTTTAATGATTATTTATTGACACATACAAAAAACTGACATTTCGAACGTGCAACTCTCCAATGACATCACGACTTATGCGCAATATCTTATCTTCTTATCATAGTGTCATAGTATCATGCGCTATGCCCATCGAGCAAAAAGATAAAAGAGGGAATCTAATCGTTATGAAAAGGAGACCAAAAAAGTGGCCTCTGATGGCGGACATATCCGGAAATGCAAAGGCGCTAAATTTAAATTTTCCAACACTTATTAACAATAGCTATAAAATATTTTTCAGACGAGAAAGTTTTAATTAAATATTAACTATAATAGTCTAAAAAGTGACACAATTGGTAAAAGATTTCAATATAAATAAAATTTCATGTGACAGTTGGGACAAACAATAACATAACCTAACTAAATTTGACTTCTTAAACAAGGAAAGAGACTGTCTATCCTTGTCTAAAGTGGCCTCTCAAGATGGCACTTCCTGTCTATCAATATGTTTACCCCCACTACCCTTACATTCCTTCTTTTGTCTTATTGCTCGATGGCTATGCCATAGCGCCATAGTCAGCCATAGTTATCTGGTTATGTACTATGCATCGAGCAATAAGACAAAAGAGGGAATGTAAAGGTAGTGGGGGTAAACATATTGATAGACAGGAAGTGCTATTTTGAGAGGCCACTTTAAACAAGGAAAGAGAATCTCTTTCCTTGTTTAAGAAATCAAATTTAGTTGGGTTATGTTATTGTTGATGTTATTGTTTGTCAAAACTGTCACATGAAAGCTTTTTTAACATTTTAGACTATTATCGTTATTAATTAATTAAAACTTTATTGTGTTCTAGTGTTAAAAAAAGTATTTTAATAAATAATTTTAATAAATAAATAGATAAATATATAATATAAAATATTATGTAATATAAAATAAATAAATAGATAAATTAGAACCCCTACACCACTGTATGATTATTGTCAAGTGTCATGAAATTTAAATTTGGCGCATTTGCATTTCCGGATATGTCCGCCATCAGAGGCCACTTTTTTGGTCTCCTTTTCATAACGATTAGATTCCCTCTTTTGTCTTATTGCTCGATGGTACTATAGTTGTGTTCGGTTTTAGAAAAACGGAGCGGAGCGAGCAGATGCAGATTTGATATCACGTGATCACAGATCTAATCGAGTGAAAGTTATTTAACGAACGCTCGTTGAAATGTTATTTGTCATTGTCGACAATCCTTAAATAAATAACTTGACCTGTTTTTAAATTTTTGGCGTTCTTTTGTTTTCGGTGTGTTGGATCATCAATTATATTTTTCGATAATTTTGAATATTCAGTCTGTAAAAACAGAAGTGAAGAGATATTGGTAATTATTAATGATTCCATTAGAATTATCTGACCCATCCAAGGAATAGCTAGGATAAAAAAATTTAGGGATTATCACAGTTGATTAGTTTTAATTACAAGATTTACCAGTACGGAAATGTAAACTTAAATCAATTTTGTCGAGATTACAAACACTTCTATCTGCGATGAATTTTTGTTTGGTAATTTATCATATAAATATCGTAGAATCAAGATACAAATCGGTTTCTGAAAGTTTGAAGACTCATGTAATGTTTGTTTTAAGGTACCTATTTCTTTGAAATTTTCTTATGAACATGAACATGGCTGCTGAGGAAACCATTTTAATGTCCATTAAAATGGTTCAGGAATTAATTTTTGATGATAGTGACGATGAAACTGATGATAGTAAAGTTTTGCCAAAAGTTGATAACTTTGCAGAAGAGACTGTTCCTCGTTTTAGTGATGGGCAGTTTAAAATGCATTTTAGGATTAATCCCGATACATTTGAAGATCTTTTGCAGAAGCTTCACGATATTCAGCTTCCTCATAATGAAGAACCTAACACCAGAGGACATCCTTCCATTACTGTAGAAAAACAAACAATGGTTACTATTTGGTGTCTCTCAAATTTAGAATCCTTTAGGTATAAGATAACAAACACCATTGTTACATGTTTATTAAAATTGTATTGTGATTTTCAGATCAGTTGCTGATAGGTTTGGGATAAGCAAAAGTACATGTTGGGATGTATTGTATAGAACCTGTAGGAACTTACTTAAAGTGAATACAGCATACAAAATTATATCCTGGCCTAACAGGAATCGTGCTCGTCAAATCAGTGAACGATTTCAATATATTAATGGTTTTCCAGGTTTGCAAGAAATTCTTCAAAACAAGAATAATTTTTTTTATTAAATATACTTGTAGGAATTATTGGAGCAATAGATGGTTCCCATATAAGAATATTAAAACCAAAAAATCACCCAAACTCGTACTGTAATAGAAAAAATTATCATTCAGTACTATTACAAGGCATGTGCGATGATAAAATGTTGTTTTTGGATGTATATGCAGGAGAGGCAGGATCCATGCATGATTGGAGGCCATATACTAAATCGGATTTGAGTCTGAGAATAAATGATGGTTCAGCCGAAATTCCGACCAATATGCATATGATTGGAGATCTCGCATATAAATTGTCCTCCAAAATACTAATAGGTTTCAAAGACATTGGGGGACTGAATATTTATGAAAAAAATTACAATCTAAAACTGTCACAATGTCGTGTTGTGATTGAACATTCATTTGCGTATTTGAAAGGACGGTTTCGTCGTTTGAAATCGTTAGAGACAATAAAAGTGGATTTAATCGCACTTCTTATTGTCTCAGGTTGCATTTTGCACAATATTTGCATTTTGAGGGAGATTCACCTGAAGAACTTGTTGCCAGGCATGAATTAGAAGAGGAGAGAGAAAATGTCAATGAAGAGGCAGAAAATATTGTATACAGCTAAACAATGAGGCAGGAATACATAAACGAAATTTTATAATGCATTCATTAATTGTAGACCAGAGATTCCTTTAATAAATAAAAAATAAAATGTCTTTGTTTTATAAATTTATATTTATTCTGTCAAACAAAACCAATCTAGGAAAATAAATAACATACTACTAATAGTTAATCAGTCGGAACTCCAAAACTATAAAACAAACAGTAAATAAATAATATGTACGTTTTATTCAATCAGGAGATAAACTCCAAATATATAAACTAAAAACAGAAAATAAATTAACAATAGTTTCAGTCAAGACAAAAAAGATAAATAATATGTACTACTAATGGTTAATAAAATAAATAAACTACAAAAATATAAAATGAAAACAGAAAATAAATTAACAATACTTTTGGTCAAGAAAAAGAAATAATATGTACCTTCCATACTTAATAAGATCAACTGCAAAAAAAATATTCAAATATAAATAAATAATACTGAAATCAGTGAAAAAAAGTAGCACTACAATTACTAATTAGTTTTGCTTTTGTAAGTATTTACAAAATCCTCGAAACAATTGAGAAATCTATCCTGCCTTTGAATTTTTTCCTTATGGCGACGTTCTACTGCATTGTCTGCTAGTTTTCTTTTTTTTGAAAAAGAGGACTCAAAGATTTCACTCCCTGATGTTGATGGAGTGCTTTCACGTTTTTCCTTACTGGATGGAGGAGATTTCTGGTTTTCCTTGTCTTCATTAATCACAAGGCCAGCATTACTACTGCATGTAGCTGGTGCACAAATTTCCGGTTTATTGAATAAAATGTTGTTCATTTCATTATAAAACTCCCATTTTCTTCTATTTTTCCCCGATGTTGCGTTGTAATCTTTAATATCCTTATACGTTTTTTTTAAAGACTTCCATTTGGTGTCGCATTGTTGCCATGTTACACCCACGTTCATTTGCTTGTTCAAAGAACTGGCTATCTTTGCCCAAATATGCTTTTTAATTGATTTTTGGAAATTTTCGTCATTTTCCTCAACCAACTGAATAAATATATAAGAGTTGCTTCCCTAGTCCACACTTTTTTATCTATATTATCTAATTGTGTCGCAGAAGCAGATGAGGAAGGTGCAGTATTGGTTTCCGATACCTCTTTGACTGTATATGCAGTAACTGCTTTAAGGGCGTCACTTTCATCTACAAAATAACAAAGGCCAATAAATTTATTTGCGAATTATGGATAAAAATAAAAGAAAATCAAATACACATGGGAATGAAACTTACTTGAAAATGAATGGTTCAAGTTCATGTGATGGATCATCAACTGTGGATCCCCACAGTTATGATCGCACATATTGCATATGTACAAGATACTTCCAACTGCAACTTCGCTCATTTCTGGATTTATTTAAAAAATAACAATTACTTTGAACACTGTAAACAAATGTGACAAATGACAACTGAAAAATCCGTCTAATCTGCTTCTCAACTTCGAGGGAACAGATCGAATCTTTTCGCTCCCTCTGACAATTAACGAACGCGGAGCAGATCCATCGAGCAATAAGACAAAAGAGGGAATGTAAAGGTAGAAGGGGTAAACATATTGATAGACAGGAAGTGCCATCTTGAGAGGCCACTTTAGACAAGGATAGAGAGTCTCTCTCCTTGTTTGACATCAAATTTAGTTGGGTTATGTTATTGTTTGTCCCAAATGTCACATGAAATCTTATTTATATTGAAGTTTTTTAACAATTGTGTCGCATTTTAGACTCTTATCATTAATAATTAATTAAAACTTTCTCGTCTAAGACACATTTTGAAAAATATTATATAGCTACTGTTGATAAGTGTCGAAATATTTAAATTTGGCGCCTTTGCATTTCCGGATGTGTCCGCCATCAGAGGCCACTTTTTTGGTCTCCTTTTTATAACGATTAGATTCCCTCTTTTGTCTTATTGCTCGATGAGCAGATCAGACGGAGCAGGTAGATGTATTTATCGAACGCTTGCGGAGCCAACAGAGCTAATCGAGATATCAGATATGTATTAACCGAACGCAACTTATGCCACTTATAAACTAAACTCGTAAAAACAGCTGGTTAGCAAATAAGTAAGGTACAAAGGTTAAAGTTCAGTTGTATTTTGTTTTATAATCTATTTTGATTCTACTTCAAATTTAGTATTAACTCGAATCTTGGTGTACAGTTAGATCGCCGTAAACATTATTAAATATTTACATTTATTTAAAATGGCATGTCTTCAACAGGTTAGTTTTAATTATTTATTGCTAATTTTGCAATTCACAATGTATAATTTAAGGTTTCCAAGGAGTTTTTAAGAAAAGGAGTTCGATTAAGCCCAAGTTTAGCTAAATACAGTTCTTCTTCTGCACCAGGGGGCTACAATTTTAGTAAGTACTTATTGATCTAATAGCCAATGTTCCTATCGTTCCTATTATAAAGTTTGAATATTTCAGGGCAAATATTTAAACAAAGAATGTATAAATATAGCTTAAAAAAAGCATATTTTTAATCATGAAATTTAAGACAGTAATTTAAATATATTATAGGCAAAGTAACATGTTAATTCTTCCAATATGTATTCTCATGTTTCAGAATTTGCCCCAACTTATAGGGTTACAGTGATGAGGTAGTAGTATATTGTTATGTCTTTTGTTTTTACCAATAATTCACCATTGTGTGGAAGGCATTTTTTATCTTGTTTTTTATCTTTTTCCTAAAATCTTTTTCTCTATTTTGTTTTTTCCCTCTAATTATTTTAAGGGTTTTCTATACATTTGCTTTTCCTGTTTCTCTCTAAAACAAAGTTTTGGTTCTGTAAACCATAAACAGTCGAATTATCAGTCAATCATTGTTTTATCTTATATATTTTGTTGCATTTGATTCTCAAATATTAGGTATCCATTATGTGTTTTATCAGTTTCTTAAAATTCGAAATTATGGTTAATGTATGGTTATAAATGCAAATTTTCATGGACATTGAACTCCATCTATAATTTGAATTGATTAATTTGAAATTGTTTATCAGTTTTTTCTTACTTATTTTTAAGTTGATTAAATTATTTATTTACTGTTTTGTCTTCTGCATTAATCTTTTGGCTGATAAATGCGTGATGTTAAAGTGCATCATTACAAAATTTACCAATTTCACTAAATTTTTAACCATCTTGTTTGTGTTATTTATTTTAAAAGTTAAATGTTTAGGAAAGATTTATTGAAGATAAAATTATCCCTGTCTCTGGCATGTTTTAAAATTCTATTATTTCTTGAATATTTTCAAGAGCTTTATGTTTTTGTCTTTTTCTGTTAATTCTCAATATCATTTAAACTAATAAACTAGGGGACTGACCTTTTTTGACAACAGTATTCAACATAAGTCACTTTCCTTTTTATGTCAGAGACAATAAACATTAGTCAAATAGCAAATTATCTACAAAATGGATCAAAGTTGTTCCTAATAATAATAAGATAACACATGTTGAAATAATGTGTGAATGTTAATACTCGCTTTAGTAAAAAGTACATTTTTAATTATACAGTAAAACCTCCGTTAACTGAAATAATTGGGGGGGAGGCCGTTTCGGATAACAAGAATTTCGGTTAAAAATAACATTGTTTTTATATAGTATTCTTGGTTAAAGTATTGGTATTAAAAATGCTATGAGGTGATTTCCTAATGTTTTCTAATAAGTAAATACAGAATAAAGAAATAAAATTAAGGAAAATGAACAAGTTTAACATGCTTTTTTCAAGAAATCTTTATTTTCTTTTCCGTTATCGTTTGACAACGATGTTTTGCAGCTATATATATATATATATATATATATATATATATATATATATATATATATATATATCTCCATCGTTCATTGGCAGAACGTCGTGAGTTTGCCTAATTCCATCGTTCGACGAAATGTAAAGTAATCTGAAAAGGATAAAACTTAATACAATGACAACAAAAATTAAGAACCTGGTCGTGTCCCTAACTAATTAGGCCTACTGATAAAATTTTTATCCTTAAGGCATTGAGAATCTCGTGGGCAGTTTCATGCTGCCTGTTGTCTGTTGGGTCATTATCTTCGTCGTTTGATACGCTCAGGTTGTATGGATGAAGAACCATATCAATGATGCCCTCTTGATGAATTCACTTTATGAGTCATCGGCTGCTAACCACTCACGTATCTCTTCTTATTAATTTCGTCACATCCCGGCAAATTTCTTATTAAAGGTTTAATTTCTTCTGTCGTTTCTTAACCATTTTCTTCTTCAGGATTGTCAATTAAAATCCCATCAAAAAGTTAGTTTCAGCATTTTTCCAAAGTTGAAGATTTTATCTTGGCCCAGAACTCACTACACCGATAAACAACATGTTTCATTGTTAAAGATTTGGGAATCTCGGGAACACTTTTGGATTCATTCGTCTCCTGTAATAACAGATGTCTTAAGAATGTTCCACTATAATGTCTCTTAAATGTCTCTATTACTCCCTCGTGTAATAGCTGAATTAAGCTTGTGACATTCGGTGGCAAAAATCTGACAATTATCACTATTGTGTAGATTTTGAGGGTGAGTTGGCACATTGTCAACAAGCAACAATGCTTTGATGGGAAGGTTTTTTGATTTTAAAAAGGATTTTACACTTGGGAGGAATTTATTTTTGAAGCATTCTGAAAATAATGTGGTCGACATCATTGAGCTTTTTTGGCTTCTATAAAAAACTGGAAGTGCTTTTTTTTCAAATATCTTTTAGAGCTCTTGGTTTTTTTGATTTCCCAACACACATAGGCATCAATCGGTGAGTGAAATTAAATAATATTAAAAATTAAATAAAAATTTACTTTTTATTGACGAAATTATTGAAACTGTCTACCGTTTCAGTTAAACGATGTTTCGGCTAAAAAGTTTTCGGTTAAGGGAAGTTTTACTGTATACACAAAAAAAGTTATGTTTAAGAACGGATAAAAAATGTATTATTGACTTCAATATATCTAAAAAACTGTGATTTGCACTTGGAGAGTGTCGAGAGAAGTGAATACTTCTTATAACATGGTATCACTATAATGGGTTAATGAAATTTTATGTCCATTTATTACTAAACTGTTAATATTCTTTTTTATAATAACACCACACATTTAAGTTCTTTGGAATTTAAAAAATCTTTTTTTTTTCCTTAAAAATTTTGTTTAATGACTTAGTAATGAAGTAATTTTTAGAATTTGTCAAATTTTCTTACCTTTTAAACCTTCCTTGGACAAACAAATATTTCAAAATCAAAATTAACCAAATCAATCCAGTTGTTCTCGAGTTGTTAGAAAAAATGTAAAAAGAGACCAAAGATACAATATTGAGATTACACTATAAAACATTTGGCTGATATTATTTTATAATAATTATTGACACTTCATCTTGGCTTGAAACACATGGCTACAGTTTCTTTTTCTTTTCTTATTGATAAATTGGAATGTCACCCTGACATTGAAGTTTGTGATGGCCATAGCTCAGTGGCTGTAGAACTGACAATATGACTGGTTTATAAAAAATGTGCATACTAGGTTTAAAAATTTAACATTTGCTTTTCAGCTCTTAATGACACTCAAAAAGAATTCCAGGAATTAGCTAGGAAATTCACAAGAGAAGAAATTATTCCAGTAGCAGCTGAACATGATAGGACAGGAAAATATCCTTTTGAGATCCTTAAAAAAGCATGGTCTTTGGGGCTCACTAATAACCATATTCCTGAAAAATATGGTAAGTTGCTTATAAACATATTATTTATTAAAATAAGTGCTTTTGTTACCAACAATATTAATACAATTTTTTTTGCGCAAAAATTATTTTATTAGTGAAACATTTGAGTGCTTCTCAAGACCTTGTTGCACATTTTCGCCACAGTCTGAAAGACTTTTACTCCTTTATATAACTGTTGATTAATGTTGAGTCCATCAGAATATTCTGTAAAAACAAAAGGATAGTTCAAACAGTGGACACACAAAATTCCCCTTATCAAATTATTTAAAAATATTTCCAAATCTTGAATTTTTAATTACCAATGTCAACAACAACCTAAATATAAAAACTGTATTTTAATAAAATTGCTATTTAAATTAAGATTATACTTTTATTAATTCTTTGCAGCTAAATATCACCTGGAGCAATTTCTAAGAATTCATTAGCATATTCTCTTGATAAGTCATAAAACATTTCTAATTTTTATGACCTTGATATACCTTGAAATATAGTTATCAGGTTTTACATTAATTATTACTTTAAAAATTGAATATATGGATCAATGATTATTAGTTTTTTAAGAAATCACCAAAAAATGTAATTAAAACATTTTCAAAAAAAGAATTAGTTCTTTTTCTGGTTGCCTATTCCTAAACAGTGTATAATACTTTTCATATTCATAATTATCTAATTTTTGTAGCATAAGGTTCTTCTTATTTGCATAATTTGTAATTTAAAGTGAAGTATTATCAAATTATATTATGACACTCCATTTTCACTCATTTTTTTAAATAAATTATTACTATATTATAAGCACTACAATATACTATAGATAAAGTCACGTTCAGATGGCAGTGTACGGATATAGGATAACAGCGTTGCCAATTCTACTGCCATTGTAAGTTTTGCTACTTTTGTAAAATAAGCAGGGCCAAACTCACGGTAAACTAAGATATGTTTAGGTAAGCTAAAGTTGTTAATAGAAAATTCGTGAATGAAATAAATGGTAATAATTCCTAAAATGATTTTATACATAATACCGCAGTTAATAGGGAAAAAAATATGAAAAATATTCTACAAGTTTTTTAATGTTCTAAACGGTAGATAAGGAATAACTGATGATAATTCCTTGAAGAATTACAGCCAATTTTGCTTTGTTTATTTTTTAAAGAAAGATGAAGTTTGGAAAAAATCATTTTTTTGCCTATTTTGTTCCTCGTGCATTTTAGGGAAAAATGTTTCAAATAAATGTTGCAGATCTTAAATAGTTTTTTAATTTTTTAGTTTGTAAATTAAAATACATAAACAAATGATTTTCAAATAGATCTCCGTCCATCTCTTCATGGTAATCTTCAGCACCTTTTTTGGCATGAAAAGTGATGTCAGCACCTTCAACAAATCCGTCTTTGTTTCCTGCATGGACTAAAACAAATCTTGGTCCTTTTCCGGTCGGAGTTTTTAAACCTGTGGTAAGTCCATTTACGAAAGCCTGTCGGCTATTTTTTATTGTTGTATCTTGCCATACTTTCCCATTGGTTATTCCAGTATTAACCCATGATTCGTCCATATAAATGATATTGGCTCCTTCGTTCCTCAGTTTCTTTATTTCCCGGAGATAGTGACGCCTCCAAGTGACTATTTCTTGTTTTTCTATTAATATTGAATTTCTACCTTGTTTGCCATATATAAAACCCATGTCGTGCAATAGTCTTCTCAACGTACTCTTGGAAAAATTCGGAAGATGCTCCATTTGCTTAATTTTTTCTAGTACTACGTCATGGGTTGGAGGAATATTGTCCATAAAAAAACCGTGCACTACTTGTCTTATTCTAGACCGAGTTGCTTCATCATATTTATTCTCACGACTATTCAAATAACCGGTTCTTTTTTTTCTTATAGGAGTTACGAGTGGACCATTTTTACTTTCACTTCTATATCGGAATATCGTTCGCTCATAGACTCCAGTCATAGCAGAAACTTCCCGCACTATTGTTGATACACTTTTATCATTATTACTGTTTGATAAATAGTTAAAAACATTTAACACTATTTTTTTGCATTTACTATTTAACAAATTGCCGTTTTTGAATTTTATTACACTCGCGGCCATTTTGACACTGACACGACACAAACGTCTGATATCAACTGAAAATTCTTTTAATGACTCTCAAGTATTTACCTGAATTTATAATTGCTGGCATTAGACAATAATTTTGAATTTATAAATAGGTATATTTTTTTAATTCTAAATTATTTTTTAATGTCGTAACTGTAAATGCAGGTAGAGAAAGTGTGTCATTAAAAGGACATTAAGATCAAAAACGGATTATACAAATAATTATTTCATTTCCACGAATTGTAAACAATTTTGAACAGAAGATATAATTCCGAAAAGACCAGATTTCCGAAATATAACTTTCTATTTTTAAAATACCAACAGAAAAATTATATAATTAAAAAAATGTAGTATTTTTCCGTTTCACATTCATAAATATTTCTGAAATTATAATTCTTTTATAGGAGCCGGCCCATAACGTACGATTGTAGGTACGATTAAAAACTGACAACAATGTAGTTATTTCTGGCATATAGAAAGTACAGGCCTATCTCTGTAACGCTGCCATCTGAATGTGAATTTATCTATAGTATGTACTGAAATATTTTTAGTCTACTATAAAAGCAAACACAATTATTTGAAAGTCAAAATATTTACATACTCTTATTTAAATTGGATACTTGTATAAAAATGAATCAGTAACACCTATAGACCTTTAAAAAAATGTTTACCATGCTCTGCAAATCAGAGCACTGAGAAATCACTTTTCTGTTGGAAGATAATTTACAACATTTTAAAAACTTTTTGTCATTTTTTTCTCTTTTTCTTGCTTACGTCATGTATTTTATTTAATTTTCATTTATTTTCAGTCCTCAGTTTTTTTTTTCAATTTCTTGGAAATTTTTCTTTAATGTCCTTTTGTCTGTTGCTACTATGGTTATATCGTCTGCATATCCTATTATTTGTACTTCATTCTTGTTTATAGTTCCTGCGTTTGACAGCTTTTTTATTATCTTGTCTAGTGATCATACCATTGAGTACCATTGAGAGCGCATCTCCTTGTCTTACACCTTTTTATTTTTATTATTTCTGTTCTTTCTCTTCTGGTGTCCATTGTTGCTTGGGAATCTCGCATTGTAATTTTTATCATTCTTATATTTTTTGCTGTATACTCTTGTAAGTCTTGGATCATTTTTCTTCTGTTTAGTTTGTCAAACGCTTGTTTAAAGTCTAGGAAAAATATATGTGTTTTTCTGTCGTACTCGTATGTTCCTTCTATCACTTGTTTTAACTTATGTATAGCTTCTATCGTGGATCTTCCTTTTCTTAAATCGTACTGGTAATCTCTTATGCTTTACTCCATTTAGTACACATCTTAAAAAGAAATGAGGCATTGAAAAAATGGTCTGAGAAGAACTATAATTTTGTTTTTCTACCAGAGCTTTCTTCTTAGAGATAACTTTTGAGAAAATAGTCCATATTTTGTTCAATTCTGTTAAACACGGCCTTGATATGCTCGTTAATAAAACCGTAATCAACGTGTAATTATCGTGAAGTACCTAGTGATTAAGTCCAAAGTAAAAATGTTGTTTTGCTCAGTCAAACTAATAAATATTTTGTTATCTATGTTATTCCATCCTTTAAAAGTATTGAACTTTGATGTTATAAAAATGGGTATCAAGTACCACTATCAGATAAGTGAGTCAACGTAATCATATATAAATAATATTTTTAAAGACACAATTATTATAACTGTTTACTTATTTTTTATCATATGATTACTATTCAAATTCAAGCAAAAATTAATATTCTTATCTGCCAAAATTAACTCGATTTACCTATTTTTAGAATATATTATATCGATTTAATTACAAATTTAAAGAAATAGCAAAGCGCATAAAAATATTGTAATAATTTCTAGTGCTTTGCCAACAATTGAATGGTGGGCAGCAACAATGTTTTAAGCGACAGAATTTAGATTATGCAAGAGATAAAAAAAAACATATTGACAAGTTATTTATGAAAATAAGCACTGAAAAATAATCAATTTCACTTAAACATAAGATACAAGTTATATATGTGTAAACAAATTATGCAGGTTTACACAAAGTAAGCAGAAAAAAATTTCAAAAAAATATCCCAGCAACAATGACTGGATACTGGATATATAACAGTGTTGAACCTGATTACTATGCGATGTTTTGGCTTATTTAGGTCTTGAAAAAAAGTATCTAATATTAATAATAAACTATAATCAATTCAAAATGTTTATTAATATAGGTAAAAAGAAATAAATAAGACTTACTCACAATCAGTTTAATTTAACTACCAAGACGCCCGGTTTCGCTTTCTACAACTTGCAAAGCATCTTCAGGTCAGTTGGTACAAAGTTAAGATGCTTTGCAAATTGTAAAAAGCGAAACCGGTTGTCTTGGTAGTTAAATTAAACTGATTGTGAGTAAGTCTTATTTACTTCTTTTTACCTATTTGAAATGGACTCACACAGGCAACACATTCATGATTTGTTTATTAATATGTTTTACATGTTAAGTACACAGTTTAATGTTTCTTTAATTTAAACTTAAAAATAATGTTCTATCTTATTCTAATTTTTCATAAAACTCTCGGTATTCTGGTTTCAGGTACTGGCATATATCCAGTAGGTTTTCGAGATTTTCTTCTTTTATTTTTATAGGCCCGGTATACGCATTCGGCAACGCATCAATTTGGTAGTTGAATGCTCTGATAGCTTGTGCACCTCATTTTTTATTCACAAGTGAGAATGTTTGCCAAAGTTGCATGACGTTGTGGCCATTATTCCCCTAGGTGTCCTAGGTCTCCCTGCTGTCGAATTTGAGCAAACGGTACTCAGTGATCTTACATTTGGGATCTTTCCATAAGTAGTTCTCACATGCTGAAAAGTCTTTGAAGTCTTTTTGCTCCATGTAGTACACATGAAGGGCTTGTTGGGACGTGAGTTGGCAATCACTGCCACCCAGTCGAAGGTTATATTCACCATTGCTCTTTTGTTCTTTCTCTCTATGAGCGAAAAGTCATCGTCGCAAGGTAAGAAGCTGTTAGACCGCTAGTTAAGAACTTTTGTTCTACTTGAGTGAAATATCTATTCACAATCAGCAAGCAGAACGTCGACAGCATTCTCCAGTTATTATTCTGGCCGACGCATCGGTCAGGCCAGACTATGAGTTTTTTTTATTTCTCCTGAGTTCAATGGACGAAAGTTAAGTTTTATGTAACACAGGAAAGCTGAAGCAATGTCATTAGAACCACGATTACCAATAGATTCATGCCACAACATCATAGTGGCATCATTTGAACCTGCATTGTGAATATCATAGTTGCAAGTGGCATACTGACGTTGGTAGAACACTGAAGAATGAGTCAATGTTGGACAGTACAACAGTTGCTGAAGATCAGTGAAGAGTACGACGAGTTGTGGATTAACCTTTTCAGCATCCAACTTCAATGCTTTGTATCCAGCCTCAGCACGTGCATGGTGGAGTTCACTGTCAACAAGAATAGCATTTCTTTCTGGGTCGTCTGGAATAACCACAAGCTTGATATACATTTTATCAAAAACGTATACGAATCTTAGTGAGGGAGACCAAAGCGCAGATTAAAGTCAGATTAAAATATGGCAGTGTAAGTGCGCCCCCGGAAACATTGCATTGCGGATACTTGTCACAAAACAGTTTGTACATTTTTTTTCAAGTTTAATTCAGCAGGAAGGCAGTTCTTCGTAGATGCAGCGCGACTATAATGGTTTTCAACAAGAAAAGATACAAACGTTTATGGCAGGTAACATAATACGCACCAGTACTTTGTAAAAGGTCATATATTTAAGTTGAAAGTATTGAATCATTTACGTCGACAAAGGGGAAGGGAACTTTATTATGTATTAAACTTTTATATTATGTTCGTTGCGGTGTAAAATTAGAAGACACCAGACAAGACTGCATATTAGTGAACACATCATCATGAGACTTGTTCTAGATGAATGGGTGAAGTATTTCAGTAGGTGAAGTCAAGGTGTCCAATATTCGCTTGGCTGATAACACTTGTTTGTAGCCCAAAGTGAGGAAGAGCTTACATTCATACTCAACAAACTACAAAGAGTTAGTGAGGAACATATAAGGTTTGTTCCAACGCGCAATTTTTGTACGTTCCGGAAACCGTCACGAAACTACTTTTACCGTTTTTAATACGCATGTTCATCATTTGTATCATCTGATGACGGTAATTTGGAAACTGATGTTGGAACGAATTTCTGACAACTGACATAATTTGGTGATAATCTACCAAAATAATTCTGGTTTTTCATCCTAGGTTCGGCTAATAGTTCCAAATCATCCTCACTACTATAATAATCAGAAAAATCACTAATTCCTTCGTCGTCAGTCATGTTTATAAAGTTATAAATAACGAAACACAAATATATAAATAAATAACAAGTCTATCATAAGCGCCTGATAAAATCATTAACATAACTTCTTTTTTCTGAACAAATTTACAGTTTTAATATAAAATCTTAATCTATTCCCAACAAATTTAAAGAAGTGGAATAAAATCCTAGTGCGCAAGTCATCCCAACCAGTACATGCATTTACCAGATTACTGAAATTATCGTCACGAAACCGTTACTGGGCTATCACAATTTTTGTTGGAACGGTCGGAAGGACGACGAGATGAACGATCATATTTTTGTTGGAACATATTTTGTTTAGTGCGCAGGAGCGTAACCGTTACGTGACGGTTTTTCGTTGTGTTTCAACAAACCTTATGTATCAATTAATAAAAACAACATAAAAGTAATAATTGTCGATAAAAGGAGATGTTTGTTTTAGGTGGTATGGGAATGGGCGTATTCGACGGATGTGTCATAGCTGAAGAAATCGCGTATGGATGCACTGGAATCAAAACTGCTTTAGAAGGTAGCGGTCTGGGCGTGAGTAAATAGTTATATGTATATTATTTATACATCAATATTACAGTAAAGTGGTTAGGTAAAATAAAATTATGACACGTTATGTAAACTAAAGTTTTATTTTGAGGTTGCAGTCATTGTTAGGGCAGGATAAGTAAAACTCTTTGTTCTTTTATCAAGACTTCGCAAAATTTATTCGCTTCTTCAGGATATGCGAAAATATGGTTATAATTATTTTATCAGTAAATACAATGAAATTAGAATTAAAAAACATTGTATAAAACTAGCACAAAAACTTACAACAAGAGGTTAATCCATTAAATTTTTAAATTCACAAAACATTGAAATTAACTTATTTAAAGTATATATACAGATCACGACATTGATTTATTGACCATACAACACAATGGCAATCGCTGTGACATGTTACACGTTTCCACCTCTATATTCATTTCACAGTAGGTACGAATTGTCGTAATTGTCACATTGACATTAATAATTCCAAACGAAGTTCTGAAAGAATGAACAAATAATTAATAAAATGCCTATTACGTTATATACCGTCCAAGAAAAAGTGCAACTTGTAACATGGTACTTTGAGAGTCATTCTATACGCGAAGTAATTGATTTATTAATCGTTGCCTTCGAAAATAGACCCCCACCAAGTGTTACAACAGTTAAAAACATCATTAAACATTTTCAAACTTCGGGATGTGTTTCTTCCCTATCTCTAAAAATTATATAGAAAAACTTACATAATATGTCCTATTTGTTTACAAACTGTTTGCAAGTGAGAGATGCTACAAAACCTACAAAGATTGGTACTGGGCTATAAATTGTGGCAGAAATAAATCATTACAATTAAAGAATTATCCTTTTAAATAAAAAAATTCATAAATGTTAACCTTTTTCTAAAAACAAAACACAAATCTCAAATATGATATGATTAAATAGTTACTAGATGTCAAAAATAATAAAACTAGTTATCATAAAAACTAAATCTTAAATGGAGAACAATTAAAATGACAGCATAGCCACACCGTAAGATTTACAGTATTAATTATTACATTTTCTTTTTTTTTTAAATTATATTAAAGCAATCATTATTTGAATGTTTATATTTTCTTCAAAAGCTTAAAACAAAAAGTTACCTTGGTTTCGCAAAAAAGAAGCACTAAAACTTCAGAAACTTCTGGTTTTTCTGGGAGAACCGGAATTACTAAAATTTCCGCCACTGGAACAAAAAACCACATCTCACACTGGGATAGGACTGACCATTTGAGGTTGAAGCTGGCATCGAACCCAAACCTTGGAACCCTGCCTCTTAAAAGGACTAGAACAATGTGGGCATATTTCAAATTTGTTCGGAAGCCGTTTTGCAAATATCTCACGATAAGAGACGGCTTACAATTAAAAAAACAGTGATTACCCCTATCAGATTTGACACATTACTTTGGGTATACATCACTTTCTTCGACAAATTTGTCGGTTTTTCGTAAAACGACATATCGGCGACCATTCAATTTAACCAAATCTTTCAACCTAAACTTGAATTCCCCTCGACCTCGATCTAATACTGGCCGGGGCTACCTTTTTACTTTCCCTCAAGCAGTCGAAGGGACTAACAACCGGAATTTTTGTTAAACATATTGCAAAACTACCTTGAATCAAACAGCTTTTTAAAATCGTAGAAATACACACGTGTAAAAGAATAAAACCATATTTTTCTTTTACATCACAAATAAGCAGAGAAATATTGATACTCTGGTCAGGGACGCCTTAGAAAATTTTATTTTCTTAAATATGTTTTTCAACATGCTACAAAATAACTGGCCAGGCCATGTAGCAACAATGCACGACTCACGAGCATTCTGGACGAGCAAAATTACAAATTGGAGGCCAAGAGCAGACAAACGTAGTAGAGGAAGACCACCTACACATTGGGTTGACGACATCAGGCTTCTTCTTCTTCAGTACCTTATCCGGTCCGGATGTTGGCGATCATCAAGGCTATCATCAGCCTTCCTAGCCAATTGGACTCTTAGGACCTGGAGATCTTTTTCGTTGGTCAACTACAACAATCGCAGAAATTGTCAAATGTCACTCCCATACGCAAACCGTAAAAAGATTGGTTCTACTGTCACCGCGGGGGAACAAATAGCGGTCTGAACTCCTTCTATTGCCTCCGGGTGCTCTGTAGAGGGCTTCGGAGACGTCAACGAAAGCACCTCTACCCAAGTCCACTTTCAGGTTATGGACTTGTAAAAGTTTTCTCATCTGATGACTCGTCTTGAGAAAGACGAGTTATTTCTTACATGACATACGAAGTTGTCGAAATAGGCATCAGGTTCTCGGCTTCGGTGACTTGCCTTGACAAAGGCAAGATATTTCTTACATGACTAAATAGTAGTCGAAATAAAACACCAAATATTGTTGAAATAAAATACTCAGCCACAGAGTATAGGAAAGCTAAAAACAAGAAAAGCAGAGCCCCGAGAGCACTAAGCTCTCGGAGAGCCCGTGAAGGACTGACCTGTTGACCTGAAAATTGCCTATTTTTATACTTTCTGAAGTAGCGATTAGGGATTTCCAGGCCAGGGAGGGGCCAACGGGAAAAATAAGGGGCGGGGCGATGCGTCTCGAACGTGAACTAGTCGCGTCCGAGAACACTACTAATATATAGGATACTAAGGATTACTAATGGATACTAAGTAACCTTGAAGAGTCATCATCAAAGAGGTACTTGGGAATGACCAGGAAAAACCTACGCTTGATAGTTGGTTTTTAACTGGTCATTGTCAACTAAGCAAACACCTCCACACACTGGGGCTAGCAGACACACCTCTATGTAAAAAGTGTGAACGAGAAGACGAAACTAAAGAGCATATCCTATGTGAATGCCCGGAGTTGTCGTTAATACGAGAGTACGCGTTCGGCGAGTCCTGGCCCACACCTGCCCACATAAGAGAGAAGTCTCCTGGTGACTTGTCCACCTTCCTAGAAATGGCAGAATGGACAATGAGCTAAGGGCGACAGCTTCCTGGGAGGATGCATAATGGGCCAATTTTGGCCTAAGTGCTGTGAAACTTAACTCGCCCCCCCCCCCTAGTCTACAGATGCAGAGAATATGAAATTAATTGACGTGTCGGTCATATAAGAGTGTCTAAGACGGTATGTTCAAATTCATTTTCTTCTTAAGAACAAGTAACTGGTCGTATTAGTTCAACACAAATCTACATTTTTAGTAATATGCAGTATTATACGCAGTATAATACAGATAGTAATATACGCAACTACCATTTATTTATCTATATTTATGCTAATTAAAACTGTTTAACATCACACGGACTTTTACTCCACGTGTCTTCAACGAATTCTACATTAATATACATATATATTTTTTTAGCAAACACCGGTTTTGTTAACTGGCAATGACGAACAAAAGAAAAAATATCTGGGAAGATTAATAGAAGAGCCTTTAGTGGCGGCGTATGCCGTTACTGAACCAGGAGCGGGTTCTGATGTGAATGGAGTTAAGACACGCGCTGAGAAGAAAGGAGACGAATGGATACTTAATGGACAAAAGATGTGGATTACTAATGGCGGAGTTGCTAACTGGTAGGTATGAATTAGGTTTTCAAGGAATATGTGTAAAGGAAGATTTGATATATTCACTATATTTGTCACTGCAACAGTTTATCAATTAAAGAGTGTTTATTTTAAGTGTTAAAAATATAATGAGAAAAGGCAGCAAATATTTGATTTCACGCAAACAAATCCTATGTATCTCTTGATACGTATTTCGACCTAATAGGTCTCGTCAGAAGAGCTATTCATAGGGCTTCTCAACGTGAAAAATCAATATTTTCTGCCTTTTAAGAAGCAACAATAACATGGCTTCAATACGGACGCAATAGCGACATCTAATTACAACAATCGTAAAATAGTTTCGAAACACAATTCAGATTTCTGCTTTATAATCTGAGCCTTCTAAAAATTGCAAGGCAAACAGACGTTGATAAAAGATGTTAAAAATATGTTGTCCAAAAAGTTTCGCTTGCTTTGATGATAGGTCTTTAAGATAGATAGGCTTTTGTCATTTTACGGAACTTAAGGAAAGAAGTTGAAGATTTAAGTTGCAAAGAGAGATGGTTCTATAATTTTTTTGTCGAATATATTATAGATTTCTTTATTCGCTGAGTAGACGGGATCGGTAAATAAACATCAAAGGATGAATTTCTGGTGGAGTAGTCATGATTACATCTTGCTGGAAAAACATGTAGGTGTTTACGAATTAAGCTAACTGTTTCTAGAATATATAGAGAGGAAAGAGTTAAAATTCCGTGATTTTTAAAGTAGCTTCTGCAATGTGTTATTCTACTGAGGCCAAAAAGATACCGTATTGCCATTTTTTGTAATTTAAAAATAACATCAGATTGTGCAGCTGTACTAGAACCCCAAAAAGGAAGACCATATCGGATATAAGACTCGAACCAAGAAAAATATGTTATTTTGGAAGATGTTAAATTTATTTCTTTCGAAACAGATCTTATTGCATAGCAGGCTGAGTCTAGTTTCTTACTTAACAAATCGATATGAAGGGACAGTTTAAGGTTGCTGTCTATAAAAATACCAAGAAATTTTACAGAATCAACGATACTGATCTGGCTGCTATTAAGAAGCAAGGGGTGAAGAGCTCCTTTATAGGATAATGCTACTGTCTTATCCACGTTAAAAGAGAGTAAATTAGAGTCTGACCAAGTTTTATTTTTAAGTAGATCAGAAGAGATAGTTGCATGAAGAGTTACAATATAGATAGATGGTTTATTGGTAGTAAATTAAAACATAAGTATTTTTTACAAGTCAAATAAAATAAAGTAAATGTCAATATAGTTAATATGCACACATAAATATAAACACAAAACATAGATACATTATTTTAAATTATACTGTTAACAATTACAACAAATTAAAATTGGAAGTAAAATACTCCTCATATGTAAAAAAAGCATTCACTATAAGGTAACCCTTAATTTTTGCCTTAAACTGATGAAAATTAAGAGCCTTTATTCTAGCTGGCACTAAGTTATAGAATTTTATGGCTAAATACCTTGAACCATTTCTGGATCTCTCAAGACGGCTAAATTCTGGTATAATATTATTGTTAAATCTGGTGGGATAATTGTGAAAATCTACATGCGCATTGTATTGGCTCAGATTTTGTTTAATGTGCAACAGACACTGCATAATGTATACACAAGGTAAAGTTAAAATTTTTTAAATTCTAAAGGAGTTTCTACAGTCTGCTCGATAAGAGAGCCCAGAGATAATACGAACACACTTTCTTTGTTGTGCAAACACTTTATCGATATGACAAGAGTGACCCCAGGAGAGGATAGCATATGTCAGATGAGAATGAAAATTACTATGATAAGCTTTTAAAATAGTTTTCCTGGAAGTCACTTGTACAAGGTTCCTGAAGAGAAAAAGTTGTCGGGAAAGCTTTTTCGATAGATTAACTATATGTTGTTCCCAGGTTAATCCTGCATCAAAATATATCCCCAGAAACTTCGCTCCGGTTACACATTGTGGTAGAGCAACGTTTTCGACACAAGTGTTATTTCTTAGAGTAAAATTAACATTTTGTGATTTAGAGTTGTTCAAAGAGAGACGGTTAGGTAAAATCAATTGAATAAGTTTTTTTCAGATGTTTGGTAATCAAGGGTGTCGAATTTAGAAGGATGATAGCTTGCATAGAAAGTAGTGTCATCAGCAAATAAAACAGTGTTGACTGTTTCATTTTGAGAGTACACTAGATCATTAATATAGATAAGAAATAATACTGGACCCAAAACCGAGCCTTGAGGGACACCAAACAACAAAGATTGTTTTTGAGATTCACACTGGTTGAAGTGAACATATTGATCACGATTTGATAGATATGAATCAATTAGTTGAATAGCATCACTACGAAAATTATAATAAGGAAGTTTTCTAAGCAGAATACTATGTGTGACACAATCTAAAGCCTTAGTAAGATCTAAAAACGATGCAAGAGTATCAAGATATTTCTCAAATCCTTCCAAAACATTGCTAGTGAAATTATCAATAGCTAAAGTTGTTGTTTTATTTTTTCGGAATCCGTACTGGTTTATGGCAAACAGTTTATTAGATCCAAAATATAGATTAATTTGATTTTTTAAAATTCGTTCATAAACTTTTGATAAGATGGGCAGCAAAGAAATGGGTCGATAATTGTTATAATCATCAATAGAGCCTTTATTCTTAAACAGAGGTACTACCTTTGCAGTTTTGAAAACTTGAGGATAAGTATTACAAAATATTGATTGATTTATTAAAGTTTTTAGAGGTTGAACAATTATATCTTTAATTGTTTTAATAATTTTTGTGTTAAACCCATCAGGATCTTTGCTGTTACTATTTTTTATTTCTGTAATAGCTAAGTCCACTTCACTAAAGTTCACTGGCTGAAAACTAAAACACGGAATATTTTTTTGTATTAGAGTTCCTCCAATATTAGAGTTCCTCCAGGTGATATTGGTATCATCAGCGAAAAGAAAAATGTTTCCATCGATTTTTAAGTTATTGATGTCATTTATAAAGACAAGGAAAAGTAGGGGGCCCAACTACTTTGTTGTTCTACTAGTTGTTCCCTATTCCTCAAGTAAGATTGGAACCAATTGAAAGAAATACCTCGAATTTCCTAGAAATTTAGTTTTTTATCAAAATGTCGTGATACATCATAACATTTTGATCTCGTGATGTACACAATCAAAAGCTTTGGCATAGTCACAAAAAACAGTGGCAGTGTAAAGATTGTTTAGTGCGTGATAGACTTTATATTATATAGTACAGAAAACATAGCATTACTGGTACATTTATTAGATAAAAAGCCGAACTGACTTTGTTTGTGATAAAATGTTGTTTTTAATGAGAAAGGACATAAATCGGGCTTTTAAAAGTCTTTCAATCATTTTGGATAGGGCCAGTAGTAAGGTCTATAGAACTATTGCCTTACAATATTGCAGACATTCGATTTTTCACCGCCCTTGTGAAGAGGAATAATAATGGCTGTTTTAAGGCACTCTTTACCATTTTCAAAGGAATCATTAATTATTGAAACCAGGACTTTCAATAATTATGGAAAATTAATTTTTATGGATATAGTCCATCAGTACTACAGAAAGATTTGCTTTTGATACTATTGATTGTTTAGATTAGAAATAGGATCTTGTGGCAAAATAGTTGATGTTATATTTTTACTCCCATTAACGAAGTATTCATTTAGATTTTCCGGGTTTGGAAGAGAAAATATTTAAGTTGTGTTAGTTTTATTTCTAAGATTGTTTATTATGGAGTAAGTTTCTTTTGCAACAATTTTATAGCTTCCCAGACGATTTTGATAGTACATTTTTTTAGCTGTTTTGATAAGTTTTAGATAGGTTCATCTGTACTTGGTGATATATTCAGTGACAAAGACGTTGGTAGTAAATTTCTTGATGTACAGTAGTGAACGCATATAAAAAATCACTGAAATTATAGCCCACTTTCACAGAAGAAAAGTGCCACCCAGAAGTCAATCACAAATTTTGGATTTACGAAAGTTCTGAGCGAAAAAAAATCCTATCTAAACGTTGGTTTTTCGAGGATGGTTTGTTAAGAGTGTTAGTCTAAGTATAATAATGTTGTTTATAAGTCTGGCATTGGTTTTAAATGGTAGTTTGCTTCTTCTGCCGATTATTATTTCCTCTGGCCTTGGTTTGGATATGTTATGTCTTGCAGTAGCAACGTTTTAGTCTTCTGTCTAGCGAGCTCCAGGATATTTAGCTTCATTGTAACTTGCCTAATTTTAACTGTAAATTTACCTGCCTCTTTTTTAAATTATAGCCTGGATTTGTCAGGATTTACTACAATTTTCCTCTGTGTGTTCCTCGTTAAAGCATGCTGTAAAGATCTAACCGTTGTGTTTGGTTAGGTGCTTTTGACTGCTATTGCTATGGAAATAACATTTTAAACCTATTCGAACAATCTGCGAATTGTCTTATTAAACTTGATAAAATGAAAGGCAGATATTGAGCACTGTTTTATTAATTAAATCTTGCCCAAGTACTTCCGCTCCCTAGAGCAACTTCAACGGTATTTCGTCAATTTTGGGCTATCCAACAATCTCAGAATGTCATAAACTTATAATTAAACATAATATTGAACACTACACTACACTAAACAAGGACAAACAGTTTAAAATTATTTAAAAAATAGTGGAAGCTACATTCTGGTCGGCAACAGCAGAGAGAATCTCTCCTGTGTTGTGATCAATTTCTGCGATTGTTGGATGGCCAAACATTGACGAAATGCCTCTGAAGATGCTCTAGGAAGCGAAAGTACTTGGGCAATATTTAATTAATAAAACAGTGCTCGATATCTGCCTTTCATTTTATCAAAGTTCATTTATTCGAGCATTCAACCTTATATCAAATTGTCTTATTAATATGATCTTATAGTTACTAGCTGGTTAACTGGACATCAACAGCGTCTTTGACACCAAACTTCCTGTCATCCTCTTCCATATGCCTCCATTAAATTTTATTTTGCTTAAGTTGCATCCACTTAAGGTTTATTCTCCGTAGATCGTCTGTCCATCGTGTTGGTTGTCTTTCCTGGCTCCTGTTATTTTCACGAGGTATTAATTCCAACAATCTCTTAGTTCATCAATCATCGCTGAGCAGTGCTACATGTCTTACAAATCCTCATTTTAGACTTGATATTTTTTCTACGATGTCTGGTATTCCCGTTCTTGTCTGTATCTTTTCGTTTTTAACGTGGCCTGTAATCTTTCCATTTTTCTTTGTGCGATTCTCAGTTTATTAGCTTTTTTTAGTGAATGTTAGTGTTTCTAATCCATATGTTCATATTGTAGATCAATTCTTTGGATTACATCGCGTCAGCTTGTCAACACCTCTCTCTAGTGGGACTCACTAGTTTTTTCATTGAGTTGCACACTTGCTATTGATTTTTTACAGATTTTATAAATTAAGCCGGTATAAATGTAGTCCTAGACGTTGTTTTACTTTTTATGTTTTCCAGCTTTATAGATTCTTTTCTTTTATATTTATTTATGTTTTGTTTTGCTCTTAAATTTTTTAAATTGTAAATTATAGGCCATGATACTGTTCATTTTATACATTCTAGCATTTTTTTTCTTTCATTTTCAGGTACTTTGTATTAGCCCGCACAAATCCTGACCCGAAAGCACCAGCAAGTAAATCTTTTACTGGATTCATTGTAGAAAGAGAATGGCCAGGTGTAACACCTGGAAGGAAGGTGAGTACAGATTAATTGATTTATTTGTTTTGAGAAAATTAAATTTTGGTAGGATATTATCATATTAATAAGTTAGTTCAATGAATAAGATCTTGTTTTTCATGCATCAGCCATATTTAGACTTAGAGCTGAAAATTTTTACTGTTCTCTTGTTCTACTGTTACCTCATCTGTGTCTTTCACAACTATTGATGCCTCTCACGGATTCGTGGCTTCAAATGTTCAAACTTTTTAAATACTAATGAAAATGCTGATATGTTTTTGTACACACTTATGACAAATCAAAGAATGGAAAAAAATTGTTAAAGTGTGTAAACATTTACTTCCTAGCATCCTAGCTGAGCCCTTTCGGCTTACAAAGCCATCTTTAGAGCTATGGTCAAGTTTTTAAAAGTATCATTTCTAAGAGAGATCTCATTTTGTAGAAAAATACAGAAATTTTCCTTTAAATTGTTTCTATGTTAAAATAGTCCATTGAAAAAACACAAAAAAGACTACACTGGACTCCGCAAAAAACACAAAATTTTCTATCTCCAATAGTTATCTGCTGCTTCAACTCCAACAAATGGTCGGGTTTTGACACCAGCACCACAACCAAAATTTTTTTAATGTGTTTTTAATGAGTCCAGTGTACAGTCTTTTTTGTGTTTTTTCAATGGAATATTTTAACATAGAAACAACTTAAAGGAAAATTTTTCTATTTTTCTACCAAATGAGACCTCTCTTAGTAGTGATACTTTTAAAAACTTGACCATAACTCTGAAAATGGCTTTGTAAGCCGAAAGCGCTTAGCTAGGAATTAAAATTTTTACACACTTCAAAAATAAAACATAATGACCGTACTAGATTTTGGTTCGATACAGAGCAGCGACAAGCCGATTATACGTATTTCGACTTCTTTAGGTCTCCTCAGAACGGTATAGCCACTACTTCGTATCGAAACAAAATCTATTCCCGTCATAGACAATAGTTATCAAAATAACTATATACAGACTTAACTACGCCATCTAAGAACAAAAAGAGAAATCATACGATTTCTGCCTGGCGAAATCGAATTCAAATCTTGACCACTGTGCTTTCTAAAACTTGCAAAGCAAACAGCTTGATAAATAACTAAGGGAATCTAAGATTGCATTCCAAATGCCGTTCATTGTCAAAATTCGTAGTGAATTCAATTTCTGGTACTCCAAACGGAGTAAAGAAATAAAACATAATGACGGTACTAGATTTTGGTCCGATACAGAGCAGCGACAAGCCGATTATAAGTATTTCGACCTCTTTAGGTCTCCTCAGAACGGTATAGCCACTACTCCGTATCGAAAAATACTTTCAAAAACACTTACATCAAAAATACTTTTCTTTTCCATTTTTTGATTGGCGAAAACGGATCTTTACAACTCCATATCAAACGAGAAAAGTCAATAGCCTAGAGAGAAAGGGGGTAGGCCCCTTTTTATATAAAAACCGATCTTTAACGGAATTTTTTCGGCAGTAATAAAACGCTATTTGAGAATTATATTATGGCAGCCGTAACTTTTAAAAAGGTTCATCGAAGTTTTATCATATCTATCGGTTGTTTTGTACAGAAGATTCACAATACAATAATAAACTTAAGAGATGCAGAATATTTAGGTACATTTTCGATGGAGCCTCTAAGATATTATAAAAGGATATTACAGTAAGGCCGGCTCCACACATGGAATCCAACGTTGGATCAAATGTGCTCCCAAGTTCAGTGAAGCATTAACACATTGAGTTGAGTATTGGGGCGATATCAGTCTGTTTCCTCTAGAGCCAACGTCAACATGTCCGACATGGAAATTGCAGCGGCTACGACTGTCGTGATAATGAGTGCATATAGATTATATTTTGCTACTAAAAAAAAACGTTTTTTACGTCATTTTGTCTACAGCGTAACTTAATCTTTAGTGATGCCGTATTTAGCAACTGCAGGCTAAATGTATGAGTGTAAACCTGACGTCGAGGCTCTGAATACCATTTATTCTTTTATTAACTCAATTCCCAAATTTTTTAACCTTCTATTTTGACTATAAAGTCAAAATCGTTTATAACGAACTTTAGGGGACTGGTGCTTTTTGTACGTTGTAGCCAGTGTTCTCTGTAAGCAGTTCTATCGGTTATAATGAACAGGTTGCTATAAACGATATTACACTAATAGGGACAGTTAGTTCGTTGTACCCAGGGTTATGACGCAAAAACGTGTTACTTTAACTATACTTATAATATGTTATAATAACATATACATAACATTTAACATATGTGTTTATTGTACTTAAGCAAATCTAAATATGTACATACATATATGTATAATATGTATTGAAATAAGAAATTGAAATAATATATTTATTTTAAAAAGACAAAAAAAAATACATACATATGTATTACAAAATATGTAAACACATTTTACCTGAATATTTAATGAAAAAAGTCTGTAATTTTTGTTTGTCGCCTTCCTTGAACTTCTGAAAAAAACATTTTTTTCAATTGATGTGGAAACAATCGATAATGATTCTTTTACACTCTGGGAAGTTTCAGCAGTCTGAATAAATGCTCGTATGGTGGAACAAGCAGCATACGCTTCAGCAACAGTAGGGATTTTGCCGAAATCTTCCAATTCTTCATCAGCGTCATCAGTACTTTGTTTGTCACTAGTTTGGTGACTCAGTACGATGTCAATATCTGAGAGTTCTTCGCTCGTACTTATTTCGTCATCCACTCGTACATAGTCATCTGCAGAGCAGTCAGAACTGAAAAGGGAAATGGCATCCTGCAAATGCGTTTGTGCAATATCGTTGTATGCGATTCCTGATGGTAGTAAGTCTTTAGTTAGGCCGGAAAAACGAAAACAGTTGATGATCGTTTCCTTCCGCACAGATTCCCATGCCTTTGATATCATTAGTACAGCGTCAAGAATACTGACTTTCGTATCGTCGTTATTCTCTCTCTTTTCGATGATTTTGTACACCAATTCTTTCCGAAAGCATGCTTTAAGACTTCTTATAACTCCTTGGTCCATGGGCTGCAGTACAGACGTACAATTTGGAGGCAGAAAAACGAGTTTAATTTGTTTTAACCTGTCAACTGGGGGGTGGGACGGACAGTTGTCGACAATTAAAATTATGTGTTTCTTTTGTTGTAAAAGTTCACTGTCCCATTTTAGTAAAGTCTTTTCAAAAATAGCTGACGTCATCCAGGCTTTTTTATTGAAATCATAATCAACAGGGAGATTTTTCACGTTTTTAAAACAGCGCGGCATTTTACTTTTTCCTATCAACAAAAGCTTCCTTTTTATGGAACCGGACATGTTGGCTGCAACAAGAACTGTAACACGCTCTTTTGAGAGTTTACCACCGAAACATTTCTCGCCTTTAAACTTTAACGTGTGATCAGGTGTCAGTCTAAAAAATAACCCCATCTCGTCAGCATTAAAAATTTCATCATCGCTATAGTCGGACCTGAGTGTAGGCCACACATTTTCAACCCAGTCATTTATAATTGATCTCTCAACAACTGTTGACTCACCTGAAATTTTTCCATGGACAACATTGTGGCGAGCTCGAAAACGTCGAACCCAGGAAGCATTACACTTAAAATTCTTCTTCAAAATCACAGCGAAAGCATCAGCCTTTACCTGAAGCATCGGCCCACTCACGGGTACATTGTTTGCGCGTTGTTGTTTAAACCAATCGAGCAAAGCACTTTCAATGTCACTGTAATTTGATGACCGAACGCGTTGTCCTTTTTCACACTTATTAAATTGCTTAATAATTTTCTCTCGCCTTTTTATTATTCCAGCAATTGTCGAGCGTGACGTTTTAAATTCCCGGGCAATCGAACTCGCGGAATCACCGGAATCGACTCGGCAAATTATTCCAAACTGTTCCTCAGTAGTAAATTGTTTCCGTGACATTTTTTCAATGAAGACTAGACACAACTCAATTCAAATTCAGAAACTCTTGGCTTAGGCCAAATGGTGAAATATTTATAAACAAAATTTTGTAATACAATGGACCCGTCTTGGGAGGTCTAACTGTCTAAAGGACAGTAGATGCCTGTCCAGATGTACTATAACCATAAATTAATAAATCCTTACTTCTCATTTCGTGGTATTAAATATCGGTAATACCTGTGATGAATACAACACTACAATGTCGATTTTCATAACTTTACAGGATAGCACTTTTAAACTTATTTATTAAGATGTACGCTGTAACCAATATTTTAACTACTATACTACATTCCACGTTTAGAAAATAACATTGCGAAGATAGGCCCATGTATATCTTATGGACGATAGCAACGCGGCGTTGCCACGACACACACAAGCACAATTTAGGGTTGTATAATTTGTATTTTCGTTTCCACAAACATGAATTAAATTAATGTTTTTTAACGTAATTGACCAAAAGTGCCCATTCGAAACAAGAGATGCAAAGTAGGGAAAATGATTTTAATTACAAAAGATAATTTTATTTTATCTTATTTTAATTATACTAACGACAGTTTATTTGTTTTTCGGTGAGAATACGATATGCCATGAATCATATAAATCAGTAGAAAATATTGTCCGCTTGGAATGTGTATATCTAATTACTAATTGCAACTTAAAATAATACGATGTGCGTATGTCAGCTATTTTATGTCGTCTCTGACTACATAATGATAATAAAGCTTTTATTTAGTAGTTATTCTGACTTTTACAGTTAAATGTTAATTGAAAATGAAAATTTAAAAATTAAGCAAAGGGAATATCTTGGACATCCGTGCAAAAGAGAGTGTTTGAGAGTTTTGGCAACACTGATCTCCATAAGCATAATGTTATTTTCTTAACTTGAAACAAAGAATAGTGTCCCAAGAAATACGTTTGCTCTAACCGATCGATTTTAACATGCTGTAAATTTTTTTTAATGCCGTCATGGGACGGAAATTTTCTTCGATAAAGTTATTTTTATTTTCTAAAAAAAAAATGCTGTGTAAAATGGCAGCACAAGTGTTTTAAAAGAAAAAAGAAGACGAGGACTCTTTTTATAAACTGTGGCTTGTCATTGGTTTATTTTCTTTTCATCAAAGGGGCAATCCCTTTGATGTGTACGCAAAAACCGACAGTCATCGGAAACCGATAGTCATCATAAAAACGTTTGCGCCAACATAGGTCCCAACACAGTTTTGTCGGTACACACATTGGACGAACGTTGTTGGGGCCAACATTGGCCCCCATAGCGGTATCTTTTTAAATATATTTAACAATTGTTTTATTATGGATCATTACCGGCCTAGAATAATTTCTTGGTTACAGACATTTAACTCATATACTGGGCGTTTTTAAAAAAAGTTTAATAAACAAAACTTAAACAAAATGAAACTACCAGATTTTTGATAAGTTCTTCTTCTGCTAGTGCCTATCCTATATGGATGTTGGCTACCACAATGGCCCATCATATTTTATTAGCAGCTATTCGAAATAGGTCTGTAGTGGTCATACCTGTCCACTGTATCAAATTCTTAAGCCGGGATATTCGGCGGCGTCCTGGTCCTCTATTTTCCCTTCTAATATCAATAGTAGGATTCTGTATTTATTTTCATTTCTCACTATATGTTCGAAGTATGCTATCTCTCTTTAATGGATTTCAAAACTTTCTTTTTGTAAACGTTGCATTACTGCGTCGTTAGTTATATGATGTACATATGATATTCTGAGCATGCGACGATAGCACCGCATCTCGAAAGACTTCAACCGTCTGCAAGACGCAGCAGTGAGTGTCCATGCCTCTGCTCCATACATAAAAACAAAAAAACACATAATAATTAAGGATTTTGAGTCGGAAATGTAAGTTTAAGGTTAAATTGGAGAAAATTTTCTTCATCTGTAAGGCACTGCTTGCTTTTTCGTTCCTATATTTAATCTCGTATGAGTGATCCCAGGTGTCTGTGATGTTGCTAGGTATGTTATTTTTTCTGTTCTATCCAATACCTCATTGTCTGCCATAAACTTTGCATCTGTATCTTGGTTTTTGCTTATGATCATAATTTTCGTCTTCTTATTATTCAATTTCATTCCATATTTTCTACCGATGTTAACTACTTGATCTATCAGTCTTTGTAATCCTTCAGCACCATCCGTAACAAGGACAGTGTAGTCTGCATATCTTAGATTATTTATTACTTCACCGTTAACAATCACGCCATCAGTCGTTTCTCCCAAAGTTTCTCGAAATAGATGTTCAGATTATGCATGAAACAGCAAAGGCGAGAGAGATAAGTTACAAAGTTATAATTTCAAAAAATAGACCTGTGAGGTTTCCTTAAATATTTTCTCAGTAGTATTTATACAGATAATAAAATTGTAAATACATTAATTTATATTTTATCATGAAAACATTTTTGTAGGAAATGAATATGGGACAGAGAGCTTCAGACACAAGGGGAATCACATTTGAGGATGTTCGCATACCCAAAGAAAACGTTTTGATTGGCGAAGGAGCTGGATTTAAGATTGCTATGGGAACTTTTGACATGACAAGACCACCTGTAAGTATTAATCACTGAATATTTTATTAGAACCATTTTGGGTATTACATGTATTAAAAAGTAGGAATAATAAAATAAATGAAAGATGTGCTTACTATTATAAAGCGGTTAATGCTGTGCTGTTTATTTTCTCCACTCCTACATAGTTTTCGATCGATTAGGTCACTTCTTTCTCTTTCCTTTTTCTATTTCAATACCAAAAGTATTTTATATAAACTTTTGGATTTCATCAAATTTCTTGGGTTTTTTGCTACCATCGCTGTTCATTGTTATTTATTCCTTTTACCTATATCTGAAAATATAGTGTTGTTTTGTTTATAGTCTAGATATTTAATGGATAGTAGAACAAGCGAGGTTTTAGACCACTTTATTAACCATGCCATCAGGGTCTCCGATAATATATTGTCATCAAAGTTTTCTTTGACCGTAAGCTGCAAAAAGTGTCAAAAAGTGATCAACAACACCTCTTATTTTCTACAGAAGGAGTGATCGACAATGACCAGAGGCTAAATGAACAAGGGCTGAACCACACGCCATCCTGTATTGTGTGAAAAAAAAAAAGAAGAAATCAAAAGATAAGCGTTAGTTTTGCACTCGGCATATTGAGTGGCTCCTAAGAAGAATATATGTAGAGATAAGCGACCTCTTACAATCATCGCATCATCAAAGTTCATCGAAGACCATGATGCCATGGATACCAAAGCAGTCTAGAACCCCGCTTGTTCTACTTCTGTAATGTTTATAATCTTTTTTCTTGTAATTATACCTGACGTTAATTATTAAACTTGATGGCATAAGCTTTAGATTTGAAAAAGGATTGATTCCGTAGTTTTATGTAAGTATCCTATCAGTGTATTTGGTTTCTTACTTTTTTTGAGTGTATCATTGTGATGGAGTGTTTAAAAAAGCTGGAAAATGTTTAGGAAGATCTTTTCAGTGGACACAGTAAGATTTATTGACATTAATGTCCGTCTAAAGAGATAAAGATCTTAAAGTTAGTATTTTCATCTTCTTCTTATGGTGCCCTATCCATTTAGTGGATGTTGGCGACAACTCTGGCATACTCCTCTCGATCTTGTGTGGCTCTAAAGAGTGCATGGGCATCGAGGTTTGTCCAATCCCTTATGTTTTTAAGCCATGAGTATTTCTTTCTTCCGATGCCCCGTTTTACTTCTATCTTCCCTTCCGTAATAAGTTTTAAGAACTGGTAGTTAGAATTTCGAAATATATGACCCAGATAAGTTTTTCTTCTTTTTATTATTGACAGCAATTCTAGTTCTCTGCCCATTCGATTTAATACTTCGACATTTGTTGTGTGATCTGTCCAAGGAATTTTAAATATTCTTCTAAATACCCACATTTCAAAGGCCTCCAATCGGTTCATCACATTAACCCTTATGGTCCAGGTTTCTACACCATATAGCAGTATGGAGTAAATGTAACATTTTACAAAGCGATATCGAAGCTTTAAGTTAAGGCTGCTGTTGCTTAGCAAGGCTCTCATATTAGTAAATGCTGTTCTGGCTTGCTCAATCCTGCTACGTATCTCTATGTCTGGATCTAGATCTTCAGTTATCCAACTACCGAGATATCTGAACTTGGGGCATTTTGGATGTTCTTATTGTTTACTCTTATATTTAATTGCATATTTTGTATTGTACTAACCACCATTACCTTTGTCTTGTCTATATTAATCTTCAAGACCAGTCGTTCTCCTTCAGTGTTTATTCGATCTATTACTCGTTGTAGTGCTTCTTAGCTATCAGCTATTATGGCTGTATCATATACATCTTATTTTTATAACTGGTTAGAAAGGCGAGATGCGTCAGGCGAGGGACTGGCGAGGGGAGTCAGGCAAGGATGCGTCTTGTATCCGACGCTTTTCAACGTGTACTGACAGGTCATATTCAGAAAAGCCTTATGGGAAAGAAAAGAGAGAATAAGAATGGGTGGAGAAATCGGAAACACCATGAGATTTGCAGATGACACGGTAATTATGGCTGAGAATATAGAAGAACTACGAACTTTACTAGATGCAATAAATAGTGAGTGCATTCAAATGGGACTTGACATTAACACAGATAAGACCAAATTTATGGTAGTACCAACGACCAAGTGCTATTCACAAGATACTTAAATGGGGAAGAAATCCCGAATAGTTGGAAAGAAGCATGGATTACTCCAATTCGCAAAAAAGGTCCAAAAGATATTTGCGGAAACTACAGATGTATCTCTGTCACCAATAACTTTAGCAGGCTGTTTGATAAAATCTTAAAAAACATGATTGAGAAAGATTACGAACCTCATGAAATTGAACAGCAAGCAGAATTTGAAGATGGAAGATCTTGAGTAGACCACATATTTACCCTAACACAACTGAATGAAAAGAAAGTTGCAAGAAACCAGGAAATACATCTTTTATTTGTGGATCTCACAAAAGCATATGACACGATTCCTGTGAGAAAGCTGTGGCAGTCTCTTGAACGATCTCCATTAAATAGCACGATCATCGCCGCAGTCAAACAATTATACAATAAAGCATCATCAAAAATCAAACTAAACAACACCTTATCAGAAGAATTTCCAGTAACAAAAGGCTTACGACAAGGATGCTGCCTCTCTAGAATACTATTTAAGATCTATTTAAATGAAGCACTAAAACACTGGAGAAGATCCTGTTCAGGAATGGGGATCCAACTTGACGACGATACAACATTATATATTCTACATTTTGCGGACGACCAAGTAGTAGTGGCAGCAGACAAGGAAGATTTAGAATTCATGACGAGACGAGTGTGTAAAACATATGAAGAGCCTTTCTGTAAATAGAAACAAAACTCAATACTTCTGCATCGGAAATGAAGTGGAAGATCAGCTAGAAAATCAAGGCTTGATAGAATACAAAATGACCATATCAGAAATATAATGGGAGTCAAGTCAACCATCATTGACGAAATTCAAAGGAGGCAACTGATCTGGTATGGTCATGTGAAAAGAATGGACGACGACAGGCTGCCAAACCAAATTTTAAAATGGACGCCAAGGGAAAGAAGGAAGAGAGGAAGGCCAAAACAATCCTGGCTGGGCGGCATTCAGAAGGCAATGTCGGAAAGAAACCTTCACCCTGGCGAATGGAATGACCGTCGTAGCTGGAAATTTATTTTTCACTCAAAGTGCGTTTAATACATTTGAGATATTTCCTTACTTTACTGGATTACTGTCAAGTAAAGAATCCGATAGGTAACAAAAGTATATTTTATACTGTATGAATGTAGGACTTATTGAACTAATACATCTTTAGAAAATAATAAAAAGTGTTATTACTAAAAATGATTTTGTTCGAGAGAAATTTTAATGAAGTTTATTTTGAAAATGATCATGAGTTAATATTTTTTTAATTATTAGGTTGCTGCGGGAGCAGTGGGGCTGGCCCAACGTGCGCTGGACGAAGCGACCAAATACTCCATGGAAAGAAAAGCTTTCGGTGTCCCAATTGCTCATCACCAAGCTGTAGCCTTCATGTTGGCTGACATGGCCATCGGGGTGGAAACAGCTCGTCTGGCTTGGATGAAATCTGCATGGGAAGTAGACCAAGGAGTTAGAAATACCCTAGCAGCTTCCGTAGCTAAATGTTATGCTGCTGATATAGCGAATAAGTGTGCAACCGACGCAGTCCAGATTTTCGGAGGAAACGGATTCAACAGCGACTACCCTGTAGAAAAATTGATGAGAGATGCTAAGATTTATCAAATATATGAAGGAACAGCTCAGATTCAAAGGTTGATCATTTCTAGAGCAATTTTCGAAAATGCTAAGCAAAAGTTATAAAAACTTTTTTTAACTATAATTTAAGATTAAATTTTAATAACATCATGATCTATGATTACCCGCATACAAAAAACTCCATTATTCTATTACGTAATAGCAACTAAAGATTCTGTTGTTAGGTTTTATTGTTGTTTATTTATTTCTTTCAATTACTGTTTAGCTGTTTGACGCTACATTTAAATTAAATCTGGGCCTTATATAAAACATCACAGGCAGAAAAAAGTACAAATTTTTTCATCGACTTCAATAGAAAAAAGAGTTAGAAGGTAATATGTATTGATTGACATTATTTTTGTACCCAGTTTACAATTTTTATGACAAACCAACTTGTTAAATGTAATTTTGAAAGCAATATATATTTTTATATTTATAAGAAACGTTATAATTTGTTTTATTTCAACAACAGTTACCCATTTTACGATTTATGAAGTACAACACGATTGGATCGACTTATATATGAAACAAAAGATGACAAAAAAATCAAATACGGAATTCATAGCAATTTACAGTGAAGTGGAAATCACGAAACCGTTTAAATTCAAGAATGCAGGTGGGAGTACAGTCCTTTTTTCCATAGAGGTCTTTATACAAAGATGTATGAGATGTATTGTTTCTTGGATTATAAGAAAACCTTCGATAAAATTAAACATAACCTCCTCATACAATTGTTCGAAAAGAAAAACTTAAGATATATCCGAATTATCAGCAGCTTTAAATATAACCTTGTAACAAAAACGTATGAAAGGGGGGATTGGACGCCTATTTAACAAAAATGTGTGAATGTGTAATGTAACAAAAGTATTTGGGATAATGTAACAAATTGCAACAAAGCGCCAATGTACCAAAAAACAAATAAATTAAAGCTGGCTAGCAGAATATGCCGGAGAGTGACTACTTAACACTCAAAAGAGGATTCCGCCAATTTGCATGCCCTACAGAGACCGTAAAATGAGAAAATGAATGGCAAGGTAATAAAATAATATAGAAATAATGTAACTAAAAGTGATAAACTATGGAAGTTGCTCTAAGATGTGATTGAGCGCCAGGAAAGTATTAACATAATACTTTCCAAGGTATCTTGTAAAGCTGGTGGTAATTGAAATATTTAGTCTTCACAACAAATTTAATATCTAGCCAAATATCTATAATATAATTTATTATATGCTACCCACCACCATTTATGTACAGTCAACCTAGTTACCTATATACTAAAAAAAAGGAAAATTAAAAATACATATGATTTTATATCATTACTATATTTAAATCCAGAATGTTTCTTAATGAAATGATGTGAGGAAAATTGACAATATTTTAGAAATCAAAATGGCTGATGGTTTTTAATTTTTTTTTAATGATAATTGGATACACTTACTGGCTCAGAGTGGCTACAAACCAAACGGGACACTCAAAAAAACAAACCAAAACTTCTTCCCACAAAAAAACTTTAATATTCTAACAAACTTCTAAACCATCCCTGGTCTCCTACTTTTTAAACTTAAGTGTCTTTACCCAAAGTCAGAGCAGAAGTGCGCGGTGACCACTCGTTTCTAGTCAGCTAAGCATGTTTTCTCTCTCTCTCTTCAGTCTTAATCCCCGGGATGGAGTGTAGTGGTCCGTCTCCAAAGATCTATGTTTTAAGTCATTTTCATTATCTCTTGTATAGGTCTTTTGCATATTCCTGTAATTTTGTCGATCAATCTTGTTGGCGATCTTCCTTGTGATTTTCGGTCTTCTACCTTGCCTTGTATTAAAAGTTTTTCCATGTTTTTTTTGTGTGTGCTCTATAACAGATCTAAAGTATTACAATTGTTGGAGATGGATGTTACAGGAGAGTCGCTTGGTGACCTTTAGCTCATTTAAAATTAAATTATTTGTCCTGTGGTTGGTTAACATAATTCGTAACATTTTTCTTCAACGGGACATTTCAGTAGCATATTTTTTTTTCTTTCCATATTGACAATATTAAGCAATTGATCAACCTCATTTTTAGGGTTTTTGAAATTTGAGAGTCCTTCCATATTTTGGTCATCTTTCCTACGACGACTTTTGCTAGATCACATCTACGTTTTATTTCTTCTTGTAGTGACCCAGTTTGTTATTATCTTATAGTGTGTTGTTTGTCTTGGATATGATTATCTGTAGACCAAATATTTGACTTTCGTTTTTAACCATACAAGATCAATTAACTCTCGTTCACTATTTGCAAATAAGGTTTCAACCGCACAAGGTAGGTTGTTTATTTTTCGGCCATTTATTGAGATGCCCTTTTCCCAATCCTTTCTATAAAGATTTCATCTCTTATCCAGTGGTTTTGTTTCACAGGATTATTTTGCTTTGGCCGATTAACTGGTGTTGTTACTCAATGTTTAATAATAGTCTCCCATATTTTTGTGATGTACCCAGGGCATACCTTTTTGTACCTCTTGGAAAGGTTTTTTCTTAGTTCTACCCTCTTTGTCTTTCTCCGTTTGTTGTCTTTATTTCTTACAACCATCTGTATTTATTATACCTAACCAGAAAACTGCAATAAAAGAAGAAATAGTTGATTAAAACGTATATTAGACAGGGCTGTGTATTATTCCCTATCCCTTCCTAAACATCTATTTAGAAGGATACAGATGACCCTTTCCTTGGAAGATTTACAACAAATTATTGACAGAGTAGCCAATATCAGTGAGGAAAACGGCTTATCTTTGATCATAAAAAACATGACAAACTTAACAGTACATAAAGAACAAATAAAAAAATATATAAATATCTGGGAATAATCATTAAAGAAGATAATGTTGAACTTAGGCCTCTCCTAATTTCTTCGAGTTCTGTCTTCATGTTAAATTCTCTATGACATCTGGGTCGCCTGTTCTTTATATTTCCTCGTTTCTAACCGTGCCTCTAAAAGTCAGTCCAAGTAACAGGGGTTTCATTGTTTTTTTAGCCTACTCTCAGTTTGGTTACTGTGAGCTTGGTTCAGAAAAGTGTTTATACGCTGTAAGTCATGACTCATAAAGCAAAAGACCTAAAGATAAGAAAGAACTGCAACAAACGTAATGGACGTGAGAGCTAGGTGGGAAGCAGTAAGCGGTTCGGATTAGAGGAGGGTGGTATATAACGGGACAGTTTTCTATAATTTTTAATAACATTTTAAATTCTGGAGATATTTTATTCAATTTAGGTACATAAGTAGGGGGTAAATATTCGTTTAAAATCTATTTTTTTTTAATTTTTGCTTTGATATTTTACCCAAAATCTGACTGTCCCATTATGTACCCCATGTCCCATTGTATACCATCACTGGTATATATTGGGACGTTATATGGTTCATATTGGGACATAAGAAAATAATGTTTTTAAAATGGTTTATTATATTTCTAAATAATCAGAACAAAAGCAAAACCAGCATATTCGATAAAAATTTAATTAAAAAGCAAAAACTTAAAATTGGAAATAACCAGAAATAAAACATATTCGGTAAAAAAAAATTAAAAACTCAATATGAAGTACACTAAACTAACTAATAATTCATGTTATAAGAAGATAGATCATAATCAAAACTAAGCTTTTTCATAGATCTCTTCGTTCCTCCAAAAATTGCAGGTTTGGGTAACTTTTGAATTATTTGTCCTATTGTAACAGTGTCTTCGTCTCTTTCATCAGGGAAAATGAAGTTAATTGAAGTAGTCTTGCATTTTTTAAAAAAGTTTATCTAATATTCATCTGCCTCTATTTTTTCTATTTGTCCTATAAAATGCTTGTATGATTTCTTGGTAGTATATTCAACTATCACAAAATCTTTGATCCTTAAAGTTCCATGTTCCATCCTGAGGAATATTTTGTAAATCTTCGAAATCATCATCCAGATCATTGTCATAGTCATCAACTACTGCCTCTGCAATATCATTTTCGGAAGATGTTTCATCAAAAACCTTCCTTTTTGCATTGTGAGCAACTTTCTTCCGTGCTTGTTTTTCCTTTTCTTTCTGAATTCTCTCCTCCTCACTTCTCTTTTTCTCATCCATAAAAGGTGAACTATGTATGTTAGCTTCTAATGGTCTATCTGTAACATAAGAGCTGAGAAAGTCCTACTCTGAAATTTTCAGAATCTACAGGTGATATTCCAGTTTTTCTAAATGACAACAAAATATTAGTAGGGGTAAAAACTTTTTTTAATATTTTATCCACAATACCGGCAACATCATAAATAGTAACAGGAACACCTGGATGATTAATCATCCAATTATCAGTCTCTTTGTTATAAAAAGTCTTGAATGGACCTAGACATCCCACGTCAAGAGGCTGAAGTTTATGGCTGCAGTGAGGTGGTATTGTTAGTTATACTATACCATTGTCTTCGGAGTATTTCATAATTTTATAATCACAGTGAGCTTCGTGATTGTCCATGAGTATGGTCTGTTTTTTAACCAGGAGGAGTAATTCAAATTTTCCGCGCCGTAATGCTTGTTTGCAATTGGTCCAACAGCAGGCAAGTTTACTCCATTAAATTATGACCTATTGACACTAATGACATTTGTGAAATTTATTTATTATTATTATTTTCCTCTAATATATAAATCGATTTCTGACTCTTTAAGTTGTTTGTAATAACTTGGACTTGATATTTTTCTAGATAATATTTATACTAAATATTGTTTAAAGTGTTTATAAATTTATAAATGTATGTTATTTATATCTAATTATCATAAGAAAACCGGCAACTATCCTTTAAATTTAGTGTATACTTGTTAAGAAGCATTTCCATTTTGTTTTCATCACAATAAAAGAACATTAGTAAAGTAATGTTGTGTTTTAGTTTGATTGTATTGATACAGTTAATTTTGTTCTTCCTGGTTGTAGATCATCACAAGAAAACTGCAAAATTATGCAATAATGCAACATAATAGATTTGATTTGTTGATTATCTTACAGAAATCCAGTATTTTTTAGTAAATTTTATTTGTTGATAACAAATGGGACAAACTCACTGTCAAAATTAAACAAGAATCCAGCATTAAAGAAATTGTAAGTACCTACACACTTATTTATACAAAGTATCTGGTAAGAAAAAAAAAACTAAATTCAAGAAATTGATCATACCAGAATAAGAATATGGTCTACTATTAAAAGACAAATTTCTGAGAAAAACCATACTTAGATCTGTAACATTATTGACTCTCTCGATCAAAATATTCTCTAAATTATAATTAAATAAAAAGAGGTTAATCTTTGTAAATGGGTATATTTATTTAAAAAACCCTTAAAAGGGCCACATCAATAAAACAAACGTTTTCGGACCACACAGTCCATCATCAGGTTTTTAAAATCGAAAAATGCTAGGTCACAATGCCTGAGCCACCAAAATACTAGGGTAAAAACC